CAACATATATCTGACCAGGCACACTTTGCTCACGCTCACTCCCTTTGGCCAGTCGTTACACCTGGTGACCGTTAGCATGGGGTGGCCCGTAGCTGTGATATTAGTAGCAATGATATCGACAGTGCTCACTAGTACCGTAGATTCCGAGCCACCTGAACTGATGGGTGTTGACACAAGACTTGGAGGCGGGGGTGACTGCTCTGCGTCAGGGAAGTCTGTAAGTATACATTAGTTTGATTTTGATTATTTTTGATTATATTAGACGCATACAATTCCAATTTATCTTATTAGATACATATGATCCTGACACACCACTGATATTATAACATAAGCAGCTATGTATCATAAACATATAAATCCGTCACAGGCCCGAAAGCAAACATGTTTGCATTATTATTTATACTAGTGTAGGATATCTATGTGTGTGCGGAACTGGTGAACTTAGGTCACCTTGATGTTTGACACTCGCCTGCGTACAGTAGGCCTAAAGTGAGCACCTACTTACGAATGACATCACCGACTCCTTTAAAAATTTAGGAACTCCCCATTGACCTTACTTTCTGTATAGGTTAGAGGCTGTTTGTATATTGAACAATCACTTATGTTTTATTGTGTATTTAATTTAGCGTGGCTTTGGCGGGTCAGCAAGGATAAGGACGAGCCCTAAAGAAGGAGCCCCCGTTGTTTTAAATTTGCTCGAAAGCTCTTCCTTAAATATTCACCATACACTGATTTATATTAGAATAAAATTGTGGCACTGGTAACAGAGAAACTTTCTGATGGCCTATACTTGCTTGCGTGGATGTTCGTTCATTGAGTAACCCATGTCTAACATGTTTCAGTGCGGTACGGGTGGTGGAGGAACCCCCTGTTGTCCTTCACTTGCCTGCGTGGCTGTTCCTCTTTTGAGTATCAACCTCTGTCTGTAAAGTGGCTTATACTCTACAACAAACCATTGGCGAGTGTAAGAAGATTGGAATTTTAAAATATTAAACTACACAAACTTGCAAATCTCTATGTCTTTATAATTTTCCCAAGCTAAACTGTTCAAATTAAAACTACAGAATCTTATAACTACTCTTGGAGGGAGGCCCTCAATCCAGATACAGATCTCGTCACCAATGAGACTTTCAAGATAAGCCTTACTTATTAATTGATTCAAATTCAACGCCAGTAATTCCACAGGTTTTACATTGTGAAAAGTCGTACAATTGTTATAGCAGTTATAACAAGTTTGTTTAGAAACAAGTGTAGGCCTACAGTGTACTCGTACTGTACTTTTAACACCGTCCATGAAATCCATTATATTTTAATATAAAGCCGCTCAAAGCTAGGCTTATGCTTCCATTTTTCTAGATGGGGAAAAATTTCCCATTGATATGTCTGAAATTATTATGAAATATTATAATAAAATAAATATTTAAAAAAGTTGTACGTTAAATATCTAGATTTTTGTACGGTAATTTCTGTTTTCCCCCCAACAGTAATATATATTTATATTGTTCCAACGATCGATTGCACGAGACCGGGATTGTTTTGCACATTACTTAAGGCTAGACCTAGGGGTTGTGGCTCTATCGAGTAGATAAAATCCATTGGAGATTTGGTGGGATTGAACCCCACCTCAGGGATCGAAGTCCCGCGCTCTAACCACTGGACCAGCTCGCCCCCCCCTTAGCCGTAATATAATTAAGTTAGCCAAAAATAAGGGAGTACAGTTTTAAGAAATTGTGTGTTGTTTTAAATTGCTGCCATAACTAAACATCCGTGAGTTCCTTGTAGACGTGTTCTGTCCTGTCTTATAAATTAGAAAAAATATAACGAACCAACGACTTAATACAGTACCCCAGCTTCATTAGTCGTCACAGCGTAAAACATGTGCTGAGTTACAGTATTTCACCCCCGTACGTTTGTCTAAAGAAGTGATTATATTTTTGAAATTTGCAACGGAATCGACTAACACTATTCATTGTAGGGACGAGTCTTTTGAGTTCGTAAAAGCAACGTAAAGGCAAAGGCTAAGCTTAAGTTTGTAAAACTCGTAACAAAATTGGAGTTTATTATTTTTGAGTACCGGTAATGAAATCTTAATTAAAATCTGAGCAAAATGGAAGCAGCTACAGTTTCCAAGTATCAAAATATCACACCACTAATGCATACGATATAGCTTGACAGTTGTATTTTATGCTGTTGTATTTTTATTACAGAGCTCGTTTATTTCCCGTGAGACGCTGACAGAAATAAGAGTACTTGTTTTAGAAATAACAAGTACTAGATGTCGTCCAGTGGTCGAAGACTCGACCAAGATTATGTAATGTACATACTGTTCTATTTTCACCCCACACTGTAAATAAAACATGTGATTGGAATTTCTTCCGTTTGTTTTGATTTTCGGTTTATATTTCGCTGTTATTTGTCACCAGAATGGCAACTCATAAGGCCCATGTTATTTTTAAACATTGTAAATCAATTTTTGTGCTTATTTTTTGGTTCATGGAAATTTTTTTAAATTCATTTTTGAGCCTATTTTTGTCTATTTTAATTTATGAAGGGATTCTGCACATCTACAGGAAATTATCTTTCCAACAGTATGCGTAGATTTTGAAAAAAGGGTTTTTAAGAAACTGGCTTGCCTATTTATATATAGATATTGTTCAGTCACAAATAAAGGTAATTCGAAATGGTGATAAAAATAATGTATGGTAGTATATGAAAATGATGAAGTCCTCAAGATAATTTAGAACAAGTTAATGTAGTGTACGATACATGGCTTTAATACTACAATACAATCTATTAACATGTAAACAACATTTTAGCGTAAACAATTCATTGATGGTTTGACAGATTTGTATTTAATGTTTACATTACTAAAATGTGCTCAATTATTTCTGAAAGCAGACAGAAAAAACAATGTAAATATTACATGTGTGCTTTCCTGCTTTGTGTAGATGTTACGAAAAAACTTAAATACACGCTTAGTAATTAATGGTATATAACTAATTAATTGTACTGCAGTTAAAACCCGGACATTTCCTGAAAACGGAAATCCATTACGGATTTACGGAACCAATTAAGTTTGAATAAATGAAAATTCAAATAAGTATTATGTTACCTATTTTTATAATCAGTTAGCATAAGTGGCATAGCCAATCAGCCTATCCAAGGTAAACGGATAGGGGTTACAATCCCTTTCCTCTTGACGAGAGGATTCTGCCGCTATCGCGGGAGATGATGATGTCTCCGTGATCGCGGAGGATATTTAATAATTCTTCGGTGGTCGCGGAAGATGATCATGACATCATCATTATCCCGGGGTATTTAAAGATTTTGCCACGATTTAGTATAATGTATTTTCCCCTTGAGAATTAGCGATGCGCCATAAGAATATATCAGTCGTGTGATATATATGTTATATATGTTATATATGATATATATGTTAAATTAGAACAATGATCCCTAATTTAAAAATAATATTATTTGTAAAAACACTGTAATACCGTGGGATTTAAAATAATTAAATTATAATGATCAGTTTAATAAATGTATGAGAACTAAATCAATCAAACATGTATCGTTATTTTCTGTAAAACAGTGACACGTGACCAAATATTTTAAAGGTATTATTCGAAACAAGTACAAGCACGACGACAAACTAGTTGAAAAGGTCAAATAATCGTTCGTCAACAGATAAATATACGCAATGTATTGTGTATACAGGGTTAGTTTTAAATGAGTCCCGTCAAATCATTGTAGAGTTTTTTTTTTTTTTTTTGTCCTAGGACGCTAGGCACGAGCCTGGGATTGTTTTTCACATTACTTCAGGCTAGACCTAGGGGTTGCGGCATTATCACTTGGATAAAATCCATTGGTGACTTGGCGGGGATCGAACCCGGGACCTCACGGACCGAAGTCCCGCGCTCTAGCCACTACGCCAGCTCGCTCCCCAATCATTGTAGAGTAGTATGTACTTCATTTTGAATGGGTTTATTTTCTTTGCCGCCATCTTGGATCCGCTATATTGGATACAAAGTTTTTTTTTAATGTGAAGGTAGGGTTGTGAGCCATTTGTTCAAAATAGATGTTTACGATGAATACGATGCTGCAATCCGTTTTTAGAAATCTTGATCCATTCTAAAGTTATGAGAACTTTTTATAACTTTAATTTTAGCTCGTTTTAACATTGTGCATTTACAAACTAAGACCATAATCACAAAATAGTGCTAGATAAAGATAAGTATACACCACCAGACATTGTCAACCTATTTTCACTTGGTTAAGAGGGGTGTATTTTTTCGGCCGCCATCTTGGATCCTCCATTTTGAAATATATAAATTATTTTAAATATGAAGGTGGTGTTGTGACCCATCATTTTGAGTTAATTTTTATGCAAAACTCAATGGTGCAATCCATTTTTCTTTTTCATATTTTGTTTTTGAAATATCGACATTTTAAATAAAATAATTGTAATACTTCATCAAGAAAGCTTGACAACAAGGTCAACAAGCGATAACGGAAATCGCTCATCAGTTTGAAAGTGTTAGTTATTCAAATAAAGAATGAGAACAGGGGGTAGAATTCAAGCTTTTACTGTTAATCTAATTCATCACGCTCTATCTACACGCTATTTCCATTGGATTCCCAAATCAACGCGGGTAAAATTCCGCCCGCGAACAAACTTGAGAGCACCCAGATTACCACGTCACAGTGACGTCAGCTATGCACAGGGGGTAAAATTCCAGGGGGTGTAAGTTCCGATGACCAAAATATGAACGTGGTGAACGTATTTCATGCGTAAATAGCAAACCTTTAATTTTACCAACTATAATTAGAGAAAACTGATATGTATGTAAATATATGAGTTTAGAAAGCTACATGCATTTAATAAAGCCTACTATAAACCACAAAAAAACAGACCATCTGACATTTTGACTCCTGCTTCTGCTTGTTGGTTGACTAATAACAAACACAAGTCACAACATAACCTACAAATAATTTCAGTTTTCAGTTTCTTCAAGTTTCAATTTCAGAATGCAGTTCAGTGTTGTGTTGTGAGGTGTTAGTTTTAACTTTTAATTAAACCGTTGTTATTGCCTTGTCCAATCTGATCTGGTTTACATTGATGTTTATTTAAAGTAGATCAGTGGAATATAGGGAGGATACATGAACTAAAATGGTTACAAAACACATTCATAATCACAACAACGCCTTATGACGATGAATTTATTTGGGAAGAAATCTTCTCAAAGTGAAACAAACTACAAATCTAGGCTTGAACGTAAATTATATCTGGTAAAAACTGTTTTATCTTTGTATTAAGGTGTAGGTCTAGAGCTTTATTAGCCTTCTAAGTTAATTTAGTTAGTACTTACTTACTTGAATACTTGAAGTCTATGTCGTTGACCGATGATATCGTTATGACTGCGTCATATTTACTTAATACTAAGAAAACTATTTACACACTAATATTTACACTGTGGCAATGGCTAAAAAGTGGCTCGTTGCTTAGTTCTTCAAGGCTGTAAAGAGGCCTATTAACCAGCCTGTCACGTAGGGCCGTCTTAAAATCATCTAGGTCCAGGTCGGGTACATGCACCGGCAAGGAATTAAAAAACCTTATCGCAGACCGAGGATAGCTCTTCAGTGAGCGGGCTAGGCGGCATCTCCGCAAATCAATGTCACAAGCTTGGCGGGTATGGTGACTATGTATATTTTCTCTGACAACAAAATGGTGCATATTAACCTTCAGCAGGATCAAGATGTTTAGGACATACTGGCTATCACGATTACTAGAAAAATACCGGTATGGATCAAAAACTTCAACAAATGATGTTTTTGGCCCGAAAATAAACATTATTTAACATTGGTTAAATGGAACTGCTAAAACATATGTTCAATGCTATTAGTATAGGATTCGGGCCAACAACGTCATTTTGTTTATGTTTATGATCCATACCGGGTATTTTTCTAGTAATCATGCTGGCTATAAACAGTCAACACACCCAGCTCCAGAAAGATGGGACGACAGTGTGCTTTGTAGCCAGAAGATGTTAATATCCTCAACGCCTTCTTCTGTAGTAGAAGTAATTCCTGTGTCAATGGAGAATGGCCCCACAGAACCAGGCCATACGTGAGGTGACTGTGAAACAGCGCGTGATACACAGCTGGCAAATACGGTCTGGTAATGGTGGTCCTAAGCTTCCTTAAAAGGTAGAGAACTCCTGTCAGCTTTACACATACCTTTTCAATATGGAGGTGCCAACTTAGCTTTGAATCCATCCAGAACCCAAGCAGCTTCAAGCTGTTTTCCTCAAGGCCGATCTTCAAGGAACATAAAAGGGTCTGAGTCTTCTCCTCGTTGATCTTAAGTTTGTTGGCTATAAACCAGTCCTTGGCCAGCCTCAGGGTGTTCTTTGCCTCCTCCAGCAGCGGGTCGATGTTCTTCCCCTTTGTGACCAAGGTGGTGTCATCTGCAAAAAGGAGGGCATGGCTGGTTGTAGCAAGGTCATTGATCATTATTGTGAAAAGAAGAGGGCCCAGGACCGATCCCTGCGGAACTCCATGGGGATGAGAGCCTGTAGTAGAAGAAGCACCCATAACTGTTACTATTTGTTTGCGGTTGCCAAGGTAGTCCGCAAGAGAGCTGAAAACTGTGCCACCGATACCATATTTTCTCAGCTTGGCCAGAAGGATGTCATGTGACACAACATCGAAAGCCTTGCTGAGGTCACAAAGGCTGAGGTGGACCGATGCATTTTCCTCAAAGGTCTGGGATATGGTGTTGACCAGGCTCAGGAGTGCGGAGGTGGTAGATCGACCACTACGAAAGCCATGCTGTGAGTCCACCAGTAGGCCATTATTTTCAAAGTATGAGAGGAGTTGCCTCTTCATCACAGTCTCCATCACCTTGGAAAAGATAGGGAGGACATAGAAATGCGGCGAAAATTTTCCATCAGTGCAGGGTTCCCTTTCTTGTAGTACCTTAAGCCTACCACATATATTTTGCTATGTTTTGCAAATAGCTTATCTCCAGTATTCATTGTAGACTACATTTAGCTATAAAGATGGATAAAAGTTTAATTTAACTTTAAATTAGGTAAAACTATTATTTAGGCAAAGCTGTGATTTCCGACTCCATCGTATTATTCAACATGAAATTAATATCAATTGGATCAATATTCAAACATAACTTAACCAAAATTACCACATAGTCAAATAAGGGGTACAGTTTTTTAACTGGGCTATGCTAATATTGATTGAAACTATCAAATTGAAAATATTGTTTAATAATATAGCCTATATATATTTAAATATATCTATTATAAAATTAAACTGTCATTACCTAACCTAACTAACCAAACTTGCTGATAACTTAATGAAAAAATTGCATGAAGGTTTACTAATCGAATCGACAGTTTCAATTGATATTAGCATAGCCCAGTAGTAACTGTAACCCGAATGAAGTTAGGTAACTAGGCCTATCAAAGACTTGCCAATATTTGTTGTAAGCTAGGAGGCAAGGCTACTATGAAGGATATTGACGAAGTAACAGCTGCCTGGGCGTTATTACATCTGTTAAAATGTTTCAGGCAAGAGAGAACCCAGAACCAGTATTTGACTTGTCAGAATGTAATTTAAAAACTGTTCCTCCTGGAGTTTATTCCCTTTGCAAGGTTTTCAGGAAAGAGGTTCTTTTATTACAGGTAAGTAGACGATACCATATTTTCTAAATAAGTAGGCCTAATTAAACAGTTTTTTCACTCCATGGTTTTGTTTAAGTTAAAGCATCACATCATTCTCTGATATACCTATGACAAATGAATAAAAAGGTTCTGTATAGTAATAATTTACTAGTGGTCGTCCAGTGGGGTGGTTGCTAATATATACAGCCAGCGCTAAAGGGGTAACGAGGAATTTGACTGCATGACAATGATACAAAGTAGATTTTTGGGAATTCCTTGTTCCACAGTTTGACTTTCGATTGTTGTTTTTTTTTGCGTAGAAACTTCAAACTATCTAAAATAGAATTTGAAATAACCAAAATTTTTGGCATTGATTGTTTATGAAATTCTTAGGTCTAGGATAAATGTTCAAATTATAGAAGTTTAAATTAGCCACACTCCACTGTGGTATAATATGCGTTCATTCACTGGTGCAATGATTTATGTGCAAAAACTTGTATTTTTCTAATTCTGTTTGAACATAATACATTAAGTTGTATTATTATGAAGTACAGGAGAGTACGGTCAATACTTTTAGCGAATTTCCCATATAGGGAATAAGCTATTACCGTAGTACTCATGGTAAGACCTGGACGCGGGACCGATTTTTTTTTTCGTTTTGAGGTCCCTAGAGGCCAAAAACACCATCCGTTCAAATTCATATATACAGGGTGGCGCAGATGGATCGGGTGGTTTTAAAATACTTGTCAAACTGTCAATTTTAAAGGTATTGGATTGAAATAAAGTGCAAAACGTGTAGTTACAATGGAAGTTTATTGACAAAAAAATAGTTAAGTTAGTTTTTAAAAATTACATCCATCAAATGCCTTCCTTCTCGAGCGACGCATTCTTGGAGTCGGTCCTTGAGGTTCCGCATTGCTCGCTCAAGCATATCACCAGGAATTGATGTGATTTCGTTGTGAATTGCAGCCTTCAACTCCTGAAGCAAGGGTCTACATATACAAACCCCGGACCATTCAGGAGTTTAAGGCTGCAATTCACAACGAAATCACATCAATTCCTGGTGATGTGCTTGAGCGAGCAATGCGGAACCTCAAGGACCGACTCCAAGAATGCGTCGCTCGAGAAGGAAGGCATTTGATGGATGTAATTTTTAAAAACTAACTTAACTATTTTTTTGTCAATAAACTTCCACTGCAACTACACGTTTTGCACTTTATTTCAATCCAATACCTTTAAAATTGACAGTTTGACAAGTATTTTAAAACCACCCGATCCATCTGCGCCACCCTGTATATATGTGTGTCCGTCAGCAAGATAACTCGAGCAAAAATGATCCGATTTTGTTGAAATTTGGTACAAACGTGTAAACCTACGTTTATTCGAACGAGTTCGCAATCCAGCATGATCGGACCATGGAAACGGGTGTTTACGGGGGGTTTTATGGGGTAAAAATAGGTTTTTCCCATTTTTGACCCAAAAAACATAAAATTTAGCAATTTATTTCCAAACCATTTTGTAGAGCTTCAAAAAACAAATAATTTAGTATATTGAAGCGTTCTTATGCGCCTAATGGTTACGGAGAAAATTCCAAAAAATTGTAAATTTAAAATTCCCATGTTATTCTTATGGAGAATGAGTAAACTGTTGTAGTTTGCTTGTTTATGAACATATTTTGATCAAATTTGGAAAATGTTTTTATTTCTAACTAACTATTAACATTTTACAAAAAAAAACAGTTTTACCCTCCCTGATGCAGCAAACCTAAGTACTTGTTAAACTAATTCTATTTAAATCGGGAATAAATGTTATATTTTTAAGTAGACATTTCAGTGTAAATCCAATCAGTCAAATGGAAATTCGATTAGACTGCAGGTTTGCTGCGGCGGGGGTATTTCCTACACTGTAGAATAGCCTATTTTCCCATGTCGGATGTACAAGTGGAAACTCAACCTTAAACGGTCACTCACTGGTGCTCTCACTCTATTTGTTTTTAAATTATTATCTTTATGGGTGTTTATTATATTAGATTATGGCTGGTTAAAACTTTTTTTTTAAGACTAAGTTTAAAAGTATTTTACTCCAAAAAGGGAATGAAAATGTAACATTAACTGTAGTTCAAATTCCATAAAAACGCACATATTTTTTTAATACCTATAGAGTTTGGTATAGCTCATACCATACCTCTCATCTTGATTAAAGGTGAATCAGCTGTCTTCGTTGCTTGGAGGAGGCCTTCTGTCTGATCTTCACCTGCTGAATCATCTGGACCTGCATAAGAATCGACTCACATCTCTCCCTCAAGATATAATCCACCTTACTAATTTGCAGGTAATATAAATCTTCAGCTTTTACAAACAAACTTTTTTAGATAGGCTACACTTGTTTGAAATTATTCCTGAAAATTTGATGCATTAGCACTCAAGCGAATAATTACACTAATAAGGTGGGTGTTTAATAGAAATGAACAGTGGTTTAGCGTAACTGTAGGTGCAGAAATATCTTTTCCCCATAGATTGTAAAATACAAATTTGTATACAAATAAACCCTCTTTGGTATATAAACCCTCAATTTATATCTAATTACACCGCACATAAATTGTTAAATGTGTAGTTTTGAAAAAGTAAGATTTGTATTTTAACTTTTCCTCAAACATATCCATAGGTGTTGAATGTGTCATACAATGATCTGAAAAAGCTACCGAAAGCTATCGGGTGCTTGCAAAACCTGCAGTTACTGGATTGCTCACATAATAAATTGGAGTCGGTGCCATCCAGCTTGGTAGAGCTTCGTAACCTGACGACTTTAGACTTACGAGACAACCCTCATCTGACATCCCTTCCTCCGACCCTACATCCACCTCATCTGCTAGTGGACCCCAGTGTCTCAACACAACATTGTAAGTTAATACAATAAAAAATATATATCTTTTCAAACAGAGCAAGCTATTTAAATTCCAGAATATAATATTATTCTTGATTTGAAACTGAATTGATTAAGGTTTTACTATCAATAAATGTTATGTCATGTGATTTTTATTGGAAAAAGAAGATTGGGAACAAATCCTATTTGTTTCCACCACAATACTAGAGTGAAAATTTAAAAACGTACGTTTTCATGTCCCTGGCCTTTTACTTCGTAGATACTGGATTTGTAGTTTATTATTATGTGTTTTAATATTTTTTGGGACGGGGGCAATATGTTACACACATTTATTTGGTTTTAAATAGGTTCTAGATATTTTTTTCGTATTTTTAAAGTCTTGAAATTCACGACCATGACGTGTCCCTAGGGTACATTTTCCAACTTTCACGCTGTTTTTAGACTAATTATTCATGCCGAAATATATAAAGCCATATTTTTATGTCATCAATGGTTATTAAACTTACAAAAAAGGAGCACATTATAATTTTATTGTCATTGCAAACTGACTACCATGACAAAATAAGTCTGTCCCTCGATTTGGCGTCACGACCATTTGGGAAAAATTTTCTACTTTGAAGCACGACAGTGGCAAGCCTGGCGTCGATGGAGTCAGTTGGTTTTAGAGACTAGTTCGGGGTGTACGTCAGGATTGTAGTGCCGGTCGTTTTGAGTTGAAAGGAGGAATTACAAGATTAATAAAGGAAAGATTGTGTTTTTTGTAATTTTGGTGTGTCCATGACCGTACGTAGTCATTCGATGAAATAGACATGGTTTTAATTTTTGTTTATAAGATATTTCAAAGTCCACTTTGTATCCTCGAACATGAGGTGCAGGGCTACCGCCAGAACAGAGCCAAATAACATGGAATTTCACGACCAAAGTTTCTCGACCATCGCGGGTTTTTTCACGACCAATCCAGCCTTATGGATTATAGTGTGTTTGGTCGTGACAATAACTTTAATATAATTGTAAATTGAACAGTTTACTTCAATTGAAACACATATTTTTATTATAACTAACAGTATAATTGAAGGATTGTTTAGAAAGAATTAGATTATTTCAGAAAATTCACGACCGTACCGCTTGTCCCTGACCACCACGTTTATGATTTCTATCATAAAAATTTCAAAAATTAAAATATCTTCATATTTTAATGTTTTATACACAAAAGAAGCACACCTCTATACAAACATAACGATATTTCGGGTCTCAGGTAAGTTTTTTCGGAGTTATACAAACTTAAAAAGATTTTAATGGCTTTTTTTCAATTTTTTGAGTTTTTTATTTTTTTCTAGAAAGACCAAATATACCAAAAGCTCAGTGACCTTTTTATTGTATAATGGCCATAAAAGTAAATTAGTTTTTAGCAAAACATAGTTATAAAAATAATATTAACTATTTTTAATATTCATTTAAACGTCTGTTATGGTCGTGACAGGATTTTGTGTTTTTCCACTAAAGATGCTCTTTTTAAAAAATAAACTACCAAAGATATTGCGTTACCATGGACATTTTATGAAACTTAAAATGTTAATGAAATAAAAAAAATAATAAAAGTTTTGAAAAAAGGGGAAAAAATTTGCAAAGTGCTTTTCCTGAAAACGTACGTTTTTAAATTTTCACTCACTACTTACGCTGATCTCAAACTATTCAACCTAAAAATCTATATATAACATGGCCATAGTATTATTATAGAGTCGTATATTTATCAACATCTTTACAGTACGGTCCACGTACTGCCTTGCAGTAGTTGAGTCTGCAGTTGAGGGAGGAGCCTATTTACCACGTGACTTCGAAGGAGCCAATGAGGACAGTGCGGTGTTGCCAAATCTTATAATACAAGCCGATTTGAAAATATTTTAATTAGTGTCGAAAAGTAGTGAACCGGTGATAATGCAATGTCGTGCCAGTCCAGTCTTGGTATTGGCTGCCGCAAACTGCATACTTTCCTGGCCCCTAGTATAGTTATTAGTTATTCACCATTGTTAATTTTATAATTTGATCTAATTATCATATTTGCTGAAGGTGACACAGAGGGATCAAGCAATATAGAGGGGTATGACGCTGAGTTATCAAAAACTGAGGAGGAAGGAAAACGGTTTCAGGTAATTTCTGTTGTAAAAAAATAAGTAGCCTAAATAAAAAAAATTCCCAAAGTGAATATAAAAAAAATCACTAACAGCAAAGCCTTTGTCTCTGTGTAGACTGTTGTGCTATTGGTAGAAATTCACTAAATCCCAGAGAAGTAAGATACAGAGGATACATTCAATAATACGCACAAGTCGCTGATGTACCTGCCTACAAACTTTAATTGGCCACTAAAGTGCATCATGATTTACTTGAGAAGAAGTCATTATTTTTTAAGGATTTAGTGAACATTTCAGCTATATGAAGGATCTTATGACAAAGTAACAATAAAGTGACGGTTAGAAGATACCCCTAAACAACTAATTCGTATAAAACTGGGGCGGAAACAAGTTCTGACTCCAAAACAATTGTTTTAAGGGATTTTTAACATTTTACAATAGTTAATTGCTTGGCAGCATCTTGATTATTTTATGATAGGTCAAGAGTTATAATTCATTCCTCAACTTTGATTTACCATTCACATAAGGCAACAGATTTAAACGAGATTAAAATATGATTTTCCTTTTTAACCTTAAGTTTTTCTTTTGTTTTAGGATTCTTGCACAATGTTGGAAAAGAAAAAGGCACGTTTTGGTTTGTTATTTTTATGATTTATTTTTTCTATCTACACAGGGCTTTAAAGCTGATTATAAAATAAAGCTTGCTACTGTATCAATTCTCCTTGTATCAAGTATCAATGATGTTCATCATGCTACTTGTATCTAAACTGAAACTTAGTCTGATAATTACAGAATTAAGTTAGTTTCAAATTAATTTGAAGTAACAATTTTTTCAAACAACCACAAATATTTTTTTTTTTAAGGTCACATGAAATAAAAACATTTTACATATTGTTAACTATACAACAGTTCCATTTAGGTATTAATAATCAAAGAGTACTGCAAATTCAAACAATTCATACAATTGACCAGCTTTTGTGCTCTAATTGAGGCGTCGAGAGACCAAGGGAGATATGTGACTTTTTAAAAAATGTCATTGTATTTTTTTCGTGGTCATAACAAAAAAATAAAAATAAAAATAAATTCACTTATACCCCTTGGCTTCCAACTCTTAGGTGTTTAGTTTGGAGGCCAAGGGATATAAGTGAATTATTTGTTGAAATTCCACCCTTTTATAACAAAACCCGTTACCATGACAACATTTTTTAAAAAGTCACATATCTCCCTTGGCCTCTTGACGCCTCAATTGTGGATTTCCCCTGAGTATTTAAACATCCTGAATATTTGCTCTGATCTACTCCTAAACAACCTTGTGTGACACTAAGTGGCAAAGCTTAAATTATATTACTACCCTATGCAAAATTTACTGTATGGTGAATCGGGTCTCAAAATTGAAAGTAACAATCATATTTTAAGATTGATGAGAAAGAGTGTGAACAAATATTGGTGATCCACTACACTATAACAGCCAATATTGAAAGTAGAATCGGGGTTACTAATACAGTTGTAGAATACTCGTTAGAAAATTATTCTTTTAAAAATAAAATATATTCTTAAAAAATTAGTTAATATCTTTGGAAATTATTGTAACTACCCAGAAAAATCGTCCTCACAATGATCTGAAAACTTTTTTTGTTAACCATTCATTTTACAAACTACTTAAACCAGAAGATCAGCTTATGTCTTTTCACCCACTTGTCCAAGCCTTTGAACTGATTTCTTTCCCTAAAGCTGGGTTTTGTTAGACGCGAACGCGGAGAGCGAAAAAGAGATTAACATGGTGTTCTGCTCCACTTCTAGGAAAACAGTAACATTAAATTACCTAAGACACCGCTTATAACCGCTCTCCGCTCTCCACTTCCGCGCCTAGGAAAACCCGGCTTAAGCTGTCAGACAATGGACTTACTCTTATACTGTATTGTAAGCAACCCAGTAATGGCGGTTCAAAACAAACATAAATGATAAATAATATTTACAGGAAGAAAGACAGAAAGATCTCTTGGACATAGAGAGGAGTTTAATGGCGCAAAAAGATGAAGAGTTTAAAAGACATGAAAGCATAAAACAGAACAAGGACAAGGTAAACAGTTAGAGGTTTTCAGCATATATATGTTTGTTGTCTACGCCTGTGGCATTTTTTAAGGAGGTATAAAGGAGGCCCATAAACGCTCTTTGTGCAAGCAGACCAAAACCGGATGATTTTTCGGTGTGCCGGGAATAGAACCTATCCCTCTCACATTGAAGTCTGAGATGATAACCACTAGGCTAGCAACACATACGTTTAAATTCTTCAATTAAATTTATAGATGCTTAAGAAATCTGTTAATTAACAAAAAATAAAAACAGTAATATTTCACTATTTTGTACCCTATGAATTGTTCCCCAACTATAATGTTGTAATTCTTTTTTAAAACAATACACCTTGACCTTATGTCTTTCAAAATTGCAGTTAAAATACTGTCCAAGTGCAATTCACAAGTTGGTGTCCAAAATATTATTTGCTACATAATTAATATTATTTGCTTAACATAACAGCTGTAAACATTCAGCGTTTATGACACAAATTCAGCATTTGGATGAAAATGAAAAGACATACGTAGGGTTGACTTATTTATACTATGTGTAAAGCTATAATCATTGATACGTTCAATTCTTCATTTTGAGCTATGCACAAAAGCAACTTCCTCCCTGTACATTTCTTATGGGAGTTAAATTTACTTTTTCTCTTCTGAGTTCATTTGGCTTTTCTTCTCAACCGATTCTCATAATTTTTGCCTTAAATTAAATGTACGCACGCACAGATTTGCCATCAAGCATCATCATTCATTTGTATACTGTACTACTCGACTAAAAAAAATAGATTGTATTCTTTCTTAAGTTTTTGGAAGACCACGTCTCTTTTTATATTTTATCAGTAGATCAATAGGATAGGTATGTTTATAAGTTTTAAAAATACCTTTAAGTCCTCTAGTATATTTTGAATCAATAGTTTTAAGCTTTTGGAACAAATAACATAGATGGAGGAGGGAAGATCCATCAGCAAGACGACCACTAGGACCAAGCAATAAAAGACTTCTCCAGACTGGGATCAACATTAGAAAACACAAGGTATAAAAGGTAGAATGGAAGGCCAAAATTCTCTTAAGGTTTCAGTGGCCACTGAGGTAAAAGTATGCAATGGAAGTTGATAATGTAGCACCCTACTGTACTTTGAACCGGTGTGTGTGAATGGACCACCAATCCCACTTCAAGGCTTTTCAAATCAACACAATTGATGTTTTATTGTAAAATTATCGGATTTGAAATATATCGTATCTATATATTAATTTGAAACTGTTTTTCTTTGTCACAGCTATTTTGAGAGAACGGCTGGGCGTAGAAACTCGGTAGAGGTGTCTAAAGAAAGGTCTTGGTCTGTAGATGAGCCATCAAAAGAGAAACATGGTGAATTCCCTTGGGGCTCTGCCCCCGTGGCCTTTAAATTCCCATCCCATGTTATTTTATGGAGAAAAACAGGGTTTTTGTCACAGCTAATTTGAGAGAACGGCTGGGCGTAGAAACTTGGTAGGGGTCTCTAAAGAAAGGTCTTGGTCTGTAGATGAGCCATCAAAAGAGGAAAGAGGTAAATTCCCTTGGGGCTCTGCCCCAGAAGCCTTTAAAGTTGCCTCTTCAGATTTGTTTACATTACGACCATATGCAAAATTCTACACTACTTTTTAATGCAACAGTGTTAATATTTAAATTGTGATTTATTGAATTTATCAAAATGAAGTACAGTATTTGCAATGGATTTTTCTGGTTTTAAAATTGATTTTCTTCTGCATCGTGTCATGTTTTGCAATATAATGTTCTATTACCAAATCAGTGGAAAATCCTAATATCACAGTAACTTTTAAAATTATTTCTTATGGAGTTAACTCTAATCTATTGTATGGGTTGGTTTCTGCCTTTTTACCACTTCTTGGAGATTGTACGTAGGTGATATTCTTTGGCATATTGCATCTGTAGACAAAACTTGGGTTGGTGTAATTATTACAATGGAAAAGAGCGAGAAATCCTGGACAATTTGATATAGGCTAAAAATAAAACTGAATTAACACTGTGCTACATTTCTTTGGCGATCATTGAAATAACAGATTTGCAAACAATGGAAACATAGAAAAAGTCATAGAACACAACAAATAGAAATAGGCTAATGTTTTTTTTTTTTACACTAAAAACACAAGATCAGCTCTTTGAAAAAAGATAAGATATTTACAAAAGATTTGGATTATATCTAACTATTGTGTAGATCATGAGTATTTCCATAATCTTTGAGTCGCATGTAATGCTTCGCAATTGCTCGAATTCGAGCAACAGGTACACTAGTAGTCCTATAATTGGAAGAAAGAAATAGGTGGTCATGTGATATTTGTCTACAATATCACATTGTTTCCCAATTAAAACTGCCAGAATTGTTCTTTATGCGAATAAACTATCTGTTCTGAATTATATTAAGTTTTAATAGACTACTTGATTCCCGTACATAGGACGGGCCAACAGCTAGTTTAATTTAATTTCATACATATTTAAATGTTATTTACTCAAAGTGTTAGGTAGTTGAGCTATCATTGAATTTAGACATACATTTCACTCAATAAGAAGCAGATTGTAATTTTACTGAATGCTTTTACAAATCTAATGAACATAAAAATAAAACATAATACAAGAGTTCATATGTGCGTTTATTACTTTGAGTTTGATATTAATTTTATAGCTCCTAGCTATTCAGGCAGGGTATCCAGCTGACCTAGAAACTGGGAAAACCGGCAAATGTACATGAATTTTGATGACCAGAAAATGTTACATGTTGAATAATCACAATTTTTTCTTTACACAATCGTATCAAGTAAAAAAAAAACTATTGAAGCTGATTACGTGTTGCCATACTCACAGAAGCCATACTCAAGAATTGTAATATAATATTGCAGCATTCACTTAAAATTAACAACAGATGTGTCATGACACATGACCGCTAAAGGCAGTTACAAATATTGCTGCGATGACGGGATATTATCTCGTATGAGTCTGAGATCGCAGAAACCCATCACGGATGTTGCTGCAATCGTGTGGGATGCTCACAATAATGCAGCTATACAGGCATTAACAGTTTTGAAAGTCAATTTTAAGTAAAAACAGTAAAACCCAATTTTTTACTGTATGTCATATTTTATGGTTCACTTAAAATTTGAACTTGCACTCAAGATTTGAGACTTGATGAATGGGATTTATTATTTAGATTCGATATTTGCAGAAACTTGTTTGTTACAGCTGATATTAGACCTTAAACAGCAACAAAAGAAACTTGGACAAGATGTCAGTCGTTTTCAGTCTCAAAAAGAAGAAGAAAGGTCAAAGCTATTGAACTACCTTCTTCAAGGTGAGTTTATTTGGTCCTATGAAAAGTAAAATTAACTTATAATAATTTATGGGGCTGATTTCCTATTTGAGAAACTGTCGTTGTGCAGCTAACTCAAACCTAGTTTAACTTAAACTCAGTTTACTTTAACGGTAGTTCAAACCATGTACGTATGACTTCCCCAACCATTATGGGTTGGAAGTTTTGTTTAATCTGGTATATCTTTGTCAGCAACTATGCTGACACCACTGTACTTGACTATTAAAACACCCTCTTGAACATTAAAAATAATTTTTAAATGTTTTTTAAATGCACATTTTTCTGCCTACTGTAGTTTGTTTTAAAACATGGATGCAGTCATGTAAAAAAATCTAAAAAAGTGTTAAAACAAAACATATCTTACTTAAATTAGTTGACTTTCTCTAACCAACAGTGGAGAGACAGACAGATGAAAGGGTTCAGGACCTGATATCGATGAGTCAAGTGCTGCGGAGGTCAAGTCAGTGGCAGGAGCAGGACATGAGAGAGAGAGAACTGCTAGAAGAGTACAAGAGACGTAACCATCAGCTTCGCCATCAGGAGGTCATTGGTAATTAGCAATATCACAACACATTTTCTCCAACGTCCACTGTGCTCCGGGTTGTCCACCGTCCGGGAAAACCGGGAATTATGGTTAATTTGTTTGAACCGGGAATTTTCAATTTGCCGCGATCGCGCACGAAGACGACAATGACGTTTCCGTGACCATAGGAGATGACGATGCCGTTTCCGTGACCGTGGGAGATGACGATGACGTTTCCGTGACCGTGGGAGATGATGATGACGTTTTTGTGACCGCGGGAGACAACGATGACGTGTTTGTGACCGCGGGAGACGATGATGATGTCCAAACGGCCATGGGATATGCTAGTGATTTTTCCACGATCGCGCATGTGGACGATGACGTTTCTGTGACCGTGGGAGATGACGATGATGTTTCCGTGGCCGTGGAAGACGACGATGACGTTTCCGTGACCGCGGGTGACAACGATGACGTTTCCGTGACCGTGGGAGATGATGATGACGTTTTTGTGACCGCGGGAGACTACGATGACGATTCTGTGATCGCGGGACAGGACTATGACGTTTCCGTGACCGTGGGAGATGACGATGACGTTTCTGTGATCACGGGAGATGATTATATATGATAATATACTGACTATGATGTTTCTGTGACCACACGAGACGACGATGACGTTTCCATGCCCGCGGGAGACGATGATGATGTCCAAACGGCCACGGGATATGTTAGTGATTTTGCCGGAATCGCGCGTGCGGACGATGAGGTTTCAGTGACCGCGGAAACGATGATGATGTCCAAAAATTATTGTTTGATATTGATGATGACCACAGGAAATTATTAGACTTAAGCTACGATCGAGGATGATGATGATAACTTTTCTGTGGTCGTGGGAGGTAATTATAATGTTTCCATTACCGCTGAACGATATCAGGATTTTGTCAGGACCACGGAAGACAGTGGTGATGTTTCCATTACTGATATTCTGGATTTTGCATGTATCGCAGAAAACGATGATGGTGTCTCTATGTATACAAATGTACTGTTTGAATAAAGGATTGGTACTTTCTTGTTAAAGTGAACATTCATTATTATCGATGATTTTTTCTCGATATATCGATATTAACAAATTGAAACATATCAGCTGACAACTACGCGATAAATATTGTTCAGTATCAACAAACAATAATGAAATGAAACTGTTCTAAAAAAAAATAACCTAACATAACTAACCAAACTTGCTATAAGACTTAAAAATTCCGTGTTTAACTTGCCTTATCTATTATCAAACCCAAACGGAATTTTTAATTGGTCCAGCAAGTTTGGTTGGTTATGTTAGGTTAGCTTAGAATATTTTAGCCTAAACAAGATCAGTTAGTTGTTGTCAATTTGCAATGGATCGGAAAATAAAAATATCGATATATCGAGAAAAAATCATCGATAACAATGAATGTTCCCTTTAACAGGAAAGTACCAAAGGATATTTTGATTTGATTCGATCTATGACAGTGGTAGATGATCACGATATAACCTTGAGTTTGGGGCTTGACCGAAAATTTCAAAATGGCACACTTTTAGAAAGAATAATTTTTATATCTTTTGTAATATCCTCATTTACTTTAACGTGGTATTTATTTAATGTGGTTAGGAGGGTTTAAAACTTAAATTGGCTATGTGAAATTTTTGTAAATTCTTTATTAATTATTTATCTAGGCCACTTAAAAAAACCCATAACTCCAAAACTACATACTATATGAACAACATGATCATACATACATACTATATTGTAAGAAACAACGTCTACCATTTATGATAAAATTAACTATTGATTAAATTAATTATGATTAAATTAACATTAACCGTTTATGATTTGTAAATATCATTTGTAATGATTGATTTTGGTTATTACTGCAATATACACATAAATAATTTTTTTAAATTTTAGATGCAATGGAGTTTTTGTTAGCTGAAGAATGTGCACAACGGAATAAGCTGCTGGAGTATGAAAAAAATAAAGTGGAAATAATTCAGAACTCACTGTTGAGGTAAATGAATTTTATAGGCCTACAACTGCAATATGGTCCAGAAATCATTGTTTTTATTACTAAAGGGTCCTAAAAATTTAATTTATGCTATTTCATTTAGTCATTATTTTGCAGACAAGTTTTTAAAATATAGTGAATTTTTAGCAGTTTCAAATTCAAGATTATCGGTTTCAAAAAGTAAAAAAATATCATCTTTAACAAACCTTAAAATTATTGCCTTTACTGGATAAATCGTGTTAAACTTGTAATCTTACCTCCTCGGCCACTCAAACCTAAGAAGGTTTATTTTGGCCTCGCCAACAAGATGCAAGGTTTAATCATACCTATGGTATTTCATCCAAAAACAAATTTAACAATAATTTCACTTTGCTGAGATATTGCTAATTAAAACAAATGATGAAGAGTTTAATTGTAGAGAGGAAGAGTGGAGAGAGCAGGTTGGTTGGATGCTGGGTGTGAGAGATGCTCAACAGAGTGCAGTAGTGGCGGCCGTGGAGACAGATACTGAGATACAGAAGGCACTAGTGGCAACACTACTAGAGCGCTCAGATCTGCGCTCCAGTAGTCTGGTCATGCAGGTGGCACTGATACAGCAGCAGTTAGCAGTGCTGACTGATGTAGAGCTGCAGCGCAGGAAGGTGGACTCTGTACATCATGTAGTAAGTATCATATATTTATAGAAATATAAATACACGGGTGTACCATTGTATAGAAATGATCACCTGTAAACAGTGTGCAAAGTAATCATTCCGTTTTAATCATTCCCACTTGCTAAATCAGCTGATTTCACAGTTGGCGTTTCCAAAACACTAATACAGTAGAACCTCTTTAATCCGAACTCCCGTAATCCGAATGTCCACTAATCCGAACACCTCATTGCTCTATACACAGTACAGTAGTTCTTTGTTGTATACTGTATTTATTGATATACGCACCGTATATTTTTCTATTGTAATGTACAGTACTGTTTATTCCTTATGTTTAATACTGTTTTAAATAAACACTGCATTTTACTTTATAGAGCATTTTTCACTTTTCCCTAGCTATTGTTATGTAAAAACAACAATATGTTCTGTGATCCGAACTATTCAATAGTCCGAAACACCCCCGGTCCCAATAAGTTCGGATTAAAGAGGTTCTACTGTACCCGGCCAGCAAATAACAAAGCAAAAATAACCTAAATTGCATTTTATATACAACCAAACACTAAACAGTTAATCTATGTTTTATGATAAGGTAATTATTGTGGTACAAAAAATCTTGTGTGTTTTGTATAAATTACGAGAACAATGGTAGCCGCTCTCGAAACGTACTTGAAAGTGTCCCACTGGAAGCACCGACGTGCCGTGGCCAGAAATTGTTGTTGGCCTAGTCATTGAAAAGTTCTTCCACAGAGTAGCTTACTACTCTGAAATAAATATATACGGTAATCAAATAATCAAAAATCAAGGCCTTAGCCTCTTGAGAAGGAAGTATTTTCATTTTGTTTTCAAGGCTTTTCCATATTTAATACTTCTTATTCCTTTTGATCATCAGTGTTGACTCCAGGATTAAAAAAGTAGGTAAAGATAGGATTTTTGATTCATAGTATTTATTCTGATAGCCTCTGGACTACGTATACTTGCTATTAAATAACGCAATACATTTGTGGAATAAATTTTTGATTCCACAAAACTCCTTACTCAAAAAACTCCTATATGGGTGTTCTTGACAGTGGGCTGAATAATTTTCATTGCAGATTATTCTAATGGTGAGTTTTTGTAGTAGTATAATGTGTTGAACAAGTTGTCCCAGAAGACTATTCCATATTTGATGATGCTATAGAAACAAACAAAATATACTTTCTTGAGTATGTCGTTGTCAACTAGGTTTTGCCGGCGCCGCACCATGTAACATAGAGCTGTGAGTCTTGGTATCAAATATTCAATGTGTTTCTTTTATATTTGTTCCTTATGTTCAATAAACATTGTCTTTTCTAGAATGATTTAGCTGAGAAAAGAAAGGCACTGTCCGAACTTTTGGTGGAAATTCTAAGGGAGCAGCAAGAGAGGCGCAAACAACTGACCAATCAGCTTCAGGAGCTGGAAACTGACAGAGAGGTCTGTATAGCAACTGACTTTAACAGCGTGCATTCTACTATGTTCTTTCAATGGCAGATTATAGCACCTAAGTAGTCACAGTAGAGACCCAGAAAAGTAGGTCAAACCAGATATCAATTATTGTTAATACATCCTTTTATGTTTGTAACTTTAAAAATATATTATGAAATTGCATAGGCTAAGATGCACTGGCTAAGGAATGCACTGGCTTTCCTAAAACTTCACTGGTAGCTTACATTAGTATGGTGTGCTCACTGAATCTATGGCAGGACTCCATAGTACATATCCATGGGAATATTTTTTTCTCATTAAGCCACACACCAACAATAACCTACAATTATTTGTGTAACTAGTGGGCGAAGTGGCACTTTGCTGCACACAAGAGAAATGTTTACGCACGAGCCGTAGGCGAGTGTGGAAAGTTTCTCAAGTGCAGCAAAGGCAGTTTCCACTCGTGTTACACATTATATTTTTCCTACAGTTACTATAAAGCATATGAAGGGCTAACGGAAAGAAGTGGCTAAGTCCATTTTTGAAAATTTTACAGTAGAGCGTTTTTAAGGTCTAAGCTGAGCTTGTTCTTTCCCAAACTAACACATGCTACACATTCTCCTACAGGATTACCAACATAAAAGTAAATAAAATAAAAATAAAAAAAATGGTCTTAGCCACTTCTTTCCATTAGCCTTTCATGTACATAATTATCCTTTCAGACACTGTATAACACGTTTTTAGGTTAAGTTGAATCCAAACTTTAAACGAAATGGGAAACGCTGCACTAGCTGATCGTTGTTGTAATATCTTTAAGTGTTGCCAACTTATTTTCAAGCGTACACGGATTACGTGCATAATAAAAGCACGCCGTTTTGTGTCGTTTTGTTGGAATACTGGTGTGCACCAAAGTAAAAACTGTGCGTGAAGTAAGGCTTTCCGTACTATAATCTGTGCAAGGAAGCCCACTTTGTCTGGTGACTGTAGGAAAAATCAATTTACAGTCTGTATTGTGATGTAATATAAAAACCAACCATTGGTTAAGATACAGCTACAAAAACCGTTCTCAAACACCTGTTCCAAAGTACCATGCTCTGACATTCTAAACACGAAATATATACAACATGGAATACTTTTACAAAACCGGTATGAATCATAAACATAAAACAAATTAAGTTGTTGGCCCGAATCCTTTACTAATAGCATTATCATAAATGATTTTGACAATTCCATTTAAGCAATGTTAAACTATTTTTGGGCCAGTTACATCATTTGTTTATGTTTATGATAGATACCGGTTCTGTTCAAGTATTCGTGGTTACAACTAATACCAAAATACATGTGAACTAAAAAAAATGGTCCCTTTTTGTTACAATATAATCCACCATGAACTCTACCTGTAGACAGCAATGGCCTGCAATAGAAGGTGGAGGAGGAAGTTGGGTGTTTCAGTTACAATCTCTTGACCTTGTCATGATTACTTAACAGTTGAGCGGTAGAAGCACAGACTATTGGCTGCGTCAGTACCAGAGGCTGCTGGACGTTAGGCCACCACAGTTACGAGGTTCTCTTGACCCCAATCTTGTTTACGAGGTGGTGAGAGCAGGAGCTGCTCACTGTCTACCATTCCTTGCCTGTTGCAACATTCACACACTATCTGCTACACAGCTCTCTCAGGTATTTATAATATTAGTTGAATGTGAAACATGTAATTGTCATTTACAAGAACTAATAGTTCTCGCACAGTAGGCATACAGACAACAAATTGTAACATTAAAGCCGCATTTACACAAGCCCAGTTGGCAGGCAGGTTACTTGCCTCAGGTAACTTGAAATACATTAGAGGCAAGTAACCTGCCTGCTCTACGGGCCTCGTGTAAACGTGGCTTAAAATTAAGCTACTGACATCAAGAAGCAGGTTAGGAGAGTGAGGAGCTAAGGGATGGTGTCATTGCACAATAATTTTAATTCGGAGCTGACAATTAAACAATAAAAAATTATTTTACCTTTTACATTTGAATGATTTTTGGTATTCTCTTTATATTCATCCAAGCAATGTGGTAAGTACTAATAATAGTTATGTTTATCCTGGGTCCAAGCTTACTTAAAATTTATTTTGACAATAAAACAGAATTTTGCTCTTTAGAAGAGTTGTTTCTGTTTAGTTGTCCGATTAGGTACAAAAAATATACCTCTAGGCTAAAATTGAGTAAAACTGGGTACTTGCTATAAAAGCTTAATTGAAATAACTCTAAGAAAACTACTTTCATTTACGATCTTCATGTTTTTTTTTTTTTTTTTTTTTTGTTACATCCTTATTCATATTTTCCTGAAAGGATACCAAGCAGAAACCAACGACAGCTTTGTTTAAGCACTACAGCCTCATTACATAATTCAGTGATTAAGTGTGCATCACTATTAATACTTTAACTGTGCCGCATGATAGGTTGGTGTGACGAGTGTGGAGGACCAAACAGCTGTGTTAAGCGCAGTGAGCTCGTACCTACAGCAGGTGTCTCCCTCTGCCCCTCCTGCCATGACCGACCCTTACAAGCCATCCGCACCACCCGTGGAGTGTGTTGTGTGCATGGAGGCTAAGGTACGGGACTGTCAGAAATCTAGACTAGATACAAGTTAAAGATTTGTGGTTATTAGTTCAACAGAATAATAGTAATGAATTAGATAAACACCTAGAAAAAATTTGAATGATCACATGGTCTGATCAAATTAAATTAGACATGTATTAAGGAAACTATACTTTCAAGACCATAATAAGAGGCATTTTGTTAATTCACTAAACATATTGAAAAAGCTTTTGGTATAATTAAATTGTTCTCTGTAACATGAGAATGGCTACCCAAGAAGATTACCCACAATGACATTAAATATACATAGCTCAGGAATTAAATGTATAACAAAACTTCATTCTCAAGTAAGGATTAATGAAAATCAAAGGTGGATAAGTTTGGTAATCTATACTTATAAAAGGCAAAGCCCTCACTGACACACTCACTCACTCACTCACTCACTCACTCACTCATCACTAATTCTCCCACTTCCCATTTACCTAGGAGGCTGAAATTTGGCACATTGATTCTTTAGGCATTAAATAGGAAAACTAAGTTGTTTTTATTCTGATCGGACTCTCGGGCTCCGCCCCAGTGGCTCTGAAGTTTCCCATGTTAGCCTTATGATTTTTCATATTTAAAAACAATTAATGAATCTTAACAGCTGTTTCAATTAAACAAGTTGGTTCTGTTCTATGATGTTCAATAGCATTAAAGTTACAAGGATTACCAACAGGGTGTGGCACTATTATTATTTTTTTATTTATGACAAGAGCTAATTTGCAACTAAAAGGTGAGTGAGCGTAGCGAACAAACTTCAACCTGGAGGCAAGTTAGCGTAGCGAACGAGCTAATCTGAAGGCAAGTGAGCGCAGCGAACGAGCTCCAACCTAAAGGTAAGTGAGCGTAGCGAACGAACTTCAACCAGGACGTGATTGAGCCATGCGAACGAGATCATCTTGAAAATTAAGAAGTTAAACGGGGCAAAGCCCGCGGGTACAGCTAGTGCCATATAATTGCTTGAATAAACCCCCCCCCCCAAATAAAACTTTACCGTACTTACTATATATCATACAATGGCCGAGATGGATGGCGAGCGGCTGTTGGCGAGGCCAAAAACCTTTTTTTGGGGTTTGAGTGGCCACGTAGTTAAGGTACTATATCATACCTGGACTTAGTTAAGGTAGTATATCATACATGGACTCAAGGTTAAATGCCTCAGGCTATAGCTCCCCCAACTGCACCCTTTCTCCCAAACTCCTTACACTACCACATGCAAGATCAAACACCCTGCCTTCTGTAGGGAAGTTCATATTTGACAAATGACAACACTTCCACTTCGTGCCTACTCGCACAACATTGCCTAATGTATAATATACTCATCTCACCTAAATGCTCATGCTAATAATTAAAAGTGCCCAATAAAAGTCTTAAATAAAAAACAATTCAAGCATGGGTTATACTGTATTTGCTAAGCGGTATAAAATTTTATTCTGAAGAAAAGCAATTTGTTTTTTTCTCTGTTGCAGTGTAATATTGTGTTTGTGCCTTGTGGACATCTATGCACCTGCGCCTCTTGTGCCTCCAATCTGCTGCTGTGTCCCCTCTGCCGATCTAGTCTACAGCGCAAAATCCAAGTTTATATTTAACTATTTTATTTCACGCCAAACTATTTAAGTATACTCGCTATTGAATTAGATTGTAAATATATTCACATAAGCCTATAAAGCACAATATTTGATACGTACCATTTATAAGATTGATATTGAAAGACACTATTGTGAGTTAAGTTAAAATTATGTTATTAATTAAATAAAAATGTTAACCTAACACAACATTTATTACCCCCCCCCCCCCCCCCCCAACCCTAGTTTGTTTGTCATATTATAATTTGTATCGATACCAGCAAATTATGTTTGAACTGGCATAACTGGCTTAGCTGTTCTACGTATGGGGATCGTGTAGTTAGTTAAAACCTTAATTCAGGAGAGCAGTTTGTTTACTTACAGTAAACTTTATGCGACACTCACCGAACCGAGCATAATATCCTGAAAGGGTAACTATACAAACATAACACCTAAGAAATAAATGTATTATCATCTGATATAAAGCTCTGCTGCATACATTAGTGCTCAAGAAATCAATGTTTTCTTATAGAATACACTGTAATCAAGTAACAATGAATGTGATTGTGTTGGTGACGTAATTGTACCAATTTGCTTTATCTTAGAAAGACAATCGGTCTGTTAAGAAACTCTGCAGATGATTGTGTGTGGGGTGTGAAATTGTGTGTAATATCAATTTGGTATAACTGTACACCGTAATAGGTACTTCGAGACAATCCTCTTTGCCATCTCTGTGTTTACTCAGAATCTGAACCAGAAGATATGTGTCTGGCTTCAAGTACCAGCTCTCTACTGTACTTTTTCACTGTTTTAGAATGCTGCAGTATACCACACAGTTTGTCAACTCCTAAAATTTGCATACCTCTTACACCTTAGTCTCATTGGGGACGCACCTCTCTTTCTCTTAAATTTGAGTTACTAACAGCAGTTAGAGCAGTGCGGTGTTTTTACTTTCTCCCCTCATATACATAGGATATGGATAAATTACTGTTTTTGTAAACATTTTCAAGTTTAGAGTTTTGAATGGATATATCTATTTTGGGTCCCCCTGAATCCAAATAGGCATTTTCAAAGTGATTTCTGCATGTGTGTGTGGATGTGTCAGATTTAAAAAAACGGTCCAAACAATTTTAATAAAAATGTAGTAAGTCGTAGTCCTTTTAGCTGTAAATTAAATAGTGTAACCCCCATTGTAAACATTACCGTTTAAAAGCTATTGCAACATTTGTTTTCTTCTATATAAATACATAAAAAACAGAAAATCGGATTTTAAAAATACTGTACGGCTTGATCGGTTGTGATTAAAATTTAGTATGTTATACCCCTTTAAACTTTAGACAGTATTTTAAAACCCTTTTTGCAGTAAAATTCACGGTTTAAATTAGGTTACCCGATTTCAACTTTTGTGATTCTTTCCCTAAAAAATTATAGTTACTCCGAGGTTGTAGACAAGCTAATTGGAGTGCTGATACCGTTTATTTGGTACCAAATGTTTTATTTGTTAGCGTAAATCTATCCTTGTATTGATTTATGACTGGAGATATAGCTCCTGTAAATATTGCTTGATAACAAAGTTTTAAGCAACAGCATATAAGTGAATAGTAAGTAAATACTAGGTGTCCCAGAAAGGAATCCACTTTTATTTGAGGAAAATCCGAATGTCCAAGAAAGATGAGATAAGTAGTTTATCAGGGCTTTGTAGCCATGCCCGTGGAAAATTATTTACCATGGAGATTACCATTGCTTTACTAGTGAGCAGCGTGCTTTTTGTGTACGCGACTACTACCAAATGCTTTCTTGTGTGACAATTCAACAACATTTCTGCGCTCAAAACAGATTTCGGGATATGTGAATAAGAAAAACTGCCGTTATTGGTCAGCAGAAAATCCAAGGGAGAAACACAGACGCAGTTTACATTCCCCGAAGGTTACTGTCTGGGTGGGGATGACTCAAACAGGCATCATTGGGCTGTATTTCTTTAAGGATAACCAAGGGAACACTGTGACAGTAAATTCCCAGCAATACATAAAAATGATTAATGATCATTTACAGCCATTCTTGCTGTAGTGATGGGACAACCGATTGGAAAAAACAATCGATTAGTCAATCGGTTGTTTTTAAAACCAGTCGGTTTTTTCAGTTGAATGAAAAACCAAGTGAATTCCACTACAACTGGTGGTGTTCAATGAGCGCAATGGATTCAGTCATTGCAAGGAAAATAATCGATCACATTATTACTGGAAACGTTTGAGTCTTTGTTGTTGATTGATTGTTTGTTGTCTTTTGTGTTGAAATGTTATATGTATTATTACTTAATAACATTAATAGTTTATACAGGACAAGTTATAAATTATTAAGTAGTCCTACTATCTCAAACTAAACTCAGTAAACCAATATTCCTATTTGTTTATTAAATGGTTATGGCTTTTGAAGCAGATTTTACTGTATTAGTCATTTACATCTAAATCATGAGTACTTAAAAATCAGTACTTGGTACTTGGTCAGTGACTTGGAAATTAAACATTTTTAAAGACATAAAAAATACACATAATTACATTATATTAATTATACCTCAGAATTATACCATAGACTAACCAACACAAGTAGACTTCTCATCCCATTGTAAATTTTGAAGCTCGTTTTTCATGTCTAGTTCATGTATGCCACACTGGGCGCTAGTGTCGACGAAATTTTGTTTCTATTATTTTAGGGTCAATTTCTTGATTTGTGCTTTACTGTTTGGTTAAATAACTAGGGGACAATTGATTGTTTATGATTAGATCGTATTATTTGGTTAAACGAGGTTTTAAATGACTGTATTAACGGGAAACAAATTGTAAACAAAACACGACCTCTAACATAAACCGTACAGAACTAACAATAAAATTGTCTTCAGCTGTTCCATTAGGATGAGAAATCTACTAAGGGAGTATGTTTTATCTATGATTACACCTAAACACTGTTCACAACTCGTGTACAGTACGAGTTTATCTACAACCGTTTTCATTCACCACTCAGTCTCAACAATAGTCAGTGCCCAGTGGTTCTTACGACTACTTTCAATCACCGACGTTTGACTGTTTCCAGTTATTCCAACGATTGGTTGACTGGTTCCAATCGCCGTGGGACTGGGAGTATGAAGTGACTAGTTTCAATCATATCCGGGTTTTCAATCAGTTGTTCCCATCAATATCTTGCAGATGATACCTTCAGCTAACAGGCAAAGATTGTGGTTTAGGACAGAGCTACGTGTCATACAGCAGGAGACTCCATGACTGCGATAAGGCAGCTGTTTCGTGGGAAAGTCATTTCCAGATTTGGTGACATAAATTTGTTGTGGGGGTATCTATAACGTTGGGTGTACAACAACACTTCTGCTACCCTCAATCATCTGAAGCAAAATATTCGTGAGGAAATTAAAGTCATTCACCAGAATTCTGCCTTTGAGTCTTCGCAGATGTAAGGTTTCGTTTGGCAGAGTGCCAGCGCCGGACGGAGGGGTCTACATCTTGATGATGTAATCTTTCACAAGTAATTTCCCTGAAGTATACAAACAGGTATTCTTGCTAAAATAAAGCCATTTTTATGTTTTCTTTGTTGTAAAAGTGCATTCCTTTCTGGGACACCCAGTATAATACATCCATGGGGGCCCACAGGATTTGGAACAGGAGGGGTGCAATATATATGAAACATCTGGGGGGTTCGGGAAAATTTTCTGAAAATATAGTGTTTTAAAATGTATTTTTACGGTACAGTTCGGCCAAAGTTTCTGTGCAAGCGACCTATTGAGTATAGGCGAGGGGGTTGGCAGGGGTACTTTTGTGAAAACATTTTGTCTTGCTACTCACTCACCCCTACCCCCAACGCTGCCCATAACCGGTACCCATATGTTTTAGTTCGGCTAGTAGCGTCCTAAATACACAAGCCAAACAATTAAAAAGATAATTAAATTTACAGTTGAATAAAGCCTAGATAACAACCAAGAAAGTTGATGTTTTGTTTTCTGAATAATGTTGTTAAAGTAAGGATGGTACATCTGTGAGTCAACTACTAATTTGATTTAAACATCTATTTAAAACATTTTTGAAATAACCATTATGAAATGTACTTTAATAAATTTCTTAAGACCCACTTGATTAAAAAAAAGAGATTACAGAACATTTTGGGTATTAAATTTATTTCTTATTTCTTTTAGCCAGGGGGTGCAAGTGCACCCCCCTTGGGAATTCATCAGAAGTCTTAAACATATATGGTACCACAACCCTTTTTACATGCAACTTGCCCAGAGAGAAAAAATCTATCTGCTAAGGTATCTGTTAAGCCTGGTTTACATGGGTTGAGTATGTCAGACGAGTTATTCGGCCCAGTTCTTGATTTGTTCAACTCGCCAGGTACTTGACTAGACTGTCTACAAGCATCCCTATTTCAAACAGGGATAGTGTAGGCACAGAGAAGTAATTTTTTTATTTCTCTATGGTGTAGGTGTAGGGTATTCCGTATACCGTAACTTAATTAAAGCACTGAATTAGATTATTATATATAAAACTGAATCACCACTTAAATTCAGAGGTTGCTTAAAAGCTGTTTTGCAAATAACTTTTAAACGGTGAGGAAATAGGCCAAAGTGAAAGGTGATATTCTGAAAAAGAATAAAATTTGTTACGGTACCAATTACTATACTGCATTTCTTTAAAATAATATATAAAGGCAGCCAAAAGTTGCCTTCAAATAAAAAAATTGAAAACACCGTTTTCAATGTATTACTGATAGAACACATTTTTAGGGAGTGAGCTTTCTAACGACCCATTGATAAATAAAATCGGTCCATTAGAACTGTAGATCTTAAGTTGTACAACAATTTTAAAACTGAATTTTATAAGAGTAGATTTACGAGACAATGCAACACAGGGCCAACTGTTCAAATAAACCATTGACCGTTGAGGGTGAGTAGGCCTACACTACTCACTGAGCTAACCTCAATACTGATCGTTGTGTGTGATCGACTCACTCAGCGACCACAAAATAAAAAAAAAAAATATTCTGTGGTCGCTGGACTCACTTGATAGCAGTAAACTGGTGTTTCCTGGGCAAATCGTGGTGCTGGGGGAAGTTACTGGGCCGAGCAACTCGGTTTTCAACTAAATCACTCGACTCGCTCTCAACTGACCTCTTTTTATCAACTCGCCTGCATGTCTACACCATGCGAGTTAGAGAGCGAGTGACAACTCGCACACTGACTCGCCCGCCGAACTCGTCCCGTGTAAACCAGGCTTTAGGCCTACTATACTTTCTCAAAGTTTATTTGATTCAGGTTATTAAAAAAAATATCTCAATGTTTTGATTAATTAATTTATTAAAATTACAATCAACTATTTACTGACACTTGATCAAACAAGGAATGTTCAGAACCACATCAAGAGAACATGTAATTATTTCAAACCGTACACAATCATACAAATCAATCAAACCTAAATCCAACTTAGAAGTAAAATAATTATGATAGGTTAGAGATTTCATACATAACTTTCTCTGTAGTGTAGTTAATACTACTATTTTATTGCAAAACTATACTATTGTATTATTATTATATGCCATTTATAATAGTGAATTTTGAAAACTGAGTATATAAATATATCCCTCCGAGTGTCCATAGTTTAGGCCTTAATGTCCACCTATTTTTGGCCCCTTTGCAAGGTTTTATTAAAACGGATCTGAGAAGCTTAAAACAATGTCAATTCTAATGTTCTATATACCATTTTGTTTGGAAAATCATGGGCTTCAATATTATATATAAAACATAAGGAACATTTTTTCAAAAAAAAAATTTTTAGGTAAAAAAAAAATATAATTTCGAAAATTTTTTAAAAAAAAATAAGTTCGCGCTCAATGAAATTGTATAAATTATAGGCCTATAAATATTTGAAAATAGCCACTTAGTTCTAAATTTAATGAGGATTACAAATATATAATCATATAGCGAGGTAAGTTATCAAATAAATAAGTTATGAGCGAAAAACGGATTTCAGTACATAGCGTTTAGCTAAGAATGCATAGCCTAACCATAGCTAGGAATCTGGCTGATAATTTACATCAATATCACTACCTACTTCTTCAGGATCATCAACCAGCACTTCAAAACCACTTAAATCTTCTTATAATGCACCACGTATATCACTACTTTTGATTTTTAACACTAAAACAATGATAAACGTAATAAAACACATCAGTCATCGGTCCGGGGGAACCTAGCTGTTTACAAATACACGCACGTCAGCTGTCTGCTACAATATTTTCGGAACTAAAATGAATAGCGCTTAGAGACAGACCTCTGGAGAAAGCTTAGAATATTACGGAAAGAACGATACCTAACTCGATCCAGTTCAATCCGATTCAGTCAGTCATAGAGCCTTCGCCGTAAACGATGTTTGTGCGTCATAAAAGTGACGCATGACCCTACACAAAGTGTGTTGTGCGTAATTTTTATGACGCGTGACACTCGGAGGGTTAACATTATTGTAAACTAATTTCACATATCATTGAGGACACAGACCAGGGACACTTTCATTGTTATCAAGTTAGTTGTCAAGTATGAAAGATGTCCTGTCCTTGAGTGTACAGTTAGTTAAATACAACAACAACAGTGGGTATAACTCGCTCATAACTATGATACAACACAACGAATATATTACAAGTCAAAAGTTTGCATTTCACTGGTAGGTAGTGGTAAATACCATTTCATTAACGTTTCATGTTAAAAAACCCCATTTTTAGGGTTTCAGATCCACTCCAAAAATTCCTTGGATTGAACTTATTAAAACATTTATCTTTTGGAGACATTGAGCTTCAGCCTTTTTAATTAGAATGGGGCAGACTTTACCTTTGAATGCAAACATTGCCAGCTGTATCCATATTTTATTTAGCTGGTAAGAATTTATGCCTTCTAACAAAATTTAGACATTAGACAGTAGTTAGCAACAAGACAATGTATTTTTAATGTTTTTTTCCCAAATTGCTCTTTACAAAATTACTCTTGAATAAGTAGACATGAGTTAGTTCATATAAGTTTCAAAAACCACAAATAAATTTGAAAGCCAGAGCAAAAGTAATTGATGTTATTTTAGGAAAAAAACATGCCTCAAAAGTGATAAAAAATTGTGTACACACATAAAAACCTCCACTTGAATTTAACTCCTATTGACATACAAGCTCTGAAATTGTATTGAAAGCCTGTTAAAGCAGCATAATCTGAGTAAAAAAATTTAACAACCAACACTGAATAAAACCTGTAACATTTACCATTAAATAACAATACAGTCAGTTCAACTATTTAAAATACATCAATTAAATCAGCATGTTAATACCATGTAAGATATTAATTACCTAACTTGGTTACCAACAGTAATATGCAATTCAGACTAGACATAAACGTCAACCCACTCAGACAACAGTTTACATCATCTTACGGTATCATAGAAAAATCAGAGTGAGTGTGACCTTAGGAATAAGTTAATTCTTCTAATCAGAAACATAGAAAAAGTGAGGGGCCCAAAACAGAGATTACACTTTTGATTAAATTATAATTTTGATGAACAAAAAACCATCAACACTTGTTAAAATTCCGTTATTGATGTTATACTGCTACTTGTATATTTACTGAGAATGAAACTGATTGAACTTATTAATATTGGGACAATAATCCGTTTGGGAAAACCTCCTGTCCAATAATGAGATGGGGTTTGGCTTGAACACTTTATAAATGCCATGTCTACTCTACATTTATGTATTGTAATTGTATTACTGACATAAATATGTTATACATATTGGCTAAAAATTGAAATACTTGAATCATAAGGACTATTCCTTTAAGCAGAGAGATCAAGCTATAGGTCAGCCGCTTAGAAAGCGTCCTCCTCGTAGCATTGGTGCGAGAGAGAGATACCGAGCTGTGGGAGTGAGACAGAATATGGCTCTTCCCCCACTCCACTGCCACCCCACCACCACCCTTTATTTTATTTTACATTTTATTTTACCAAATCATATGTTTTCTTATAATTTTCCAAAGACTTTTGAATGACAATCATTAGGAATCAGCATTGAATATATAACACTATTATTTAGTTTTATATATCCAAAATAGCGTTGTATTCAACACTGAATGAATATACTGTAGTAGTGTTATACAATATAACATTACTATTTAACCGAAAAACAGTAAAGCAGTAAATACTTGATTGGCTGATAGGAGGAGTGGGGGATGTGCGTGCACACACCTTCTTTTATACGCCTTGCCATCCCGGGTCCAGAGGTATTACCATGAGTACTACGGTGATAGCTTATACCCTATATAGGAAATTCACTAAAAGGCCGTCACTAAGATGTGTGATCGTTACTTGCGATGGTGGCAACACCATTATAGGCTAATTGCAGTCGCGTTAATTGCGTCTTACACAATCGTGGCAACATCCGCGATAATCTCCTGCGATTATCTCAGTTTCCATGACTCTTTGTGATTGCGGCTATATCTTAATCGCGGCGAGATTCGTGATGATTGTCCGTTTATGGGCTGTTTTATGGGGTAAAAATGGGGTTTTCCCATTTTTGACCCTAAAAACGCAAAATTTCACAATTTCTTTCTAAACCATTCTGTAGAGCTTAAAAACCAAATAATTTAGTATATTGAAGCGTTATTATGCACCTAATGGTTACGAGAAAAATTTAAAAAAGTTGTAATTTTAAAATTCACATGTTATTCTTATTGAGAATAAGTCAACTGTTGTAGTTTACTTGTTTATGAACTAATTTTGATCAAATTTGGAAAAAAAACATTACTTTCTTACTAAACTACAGTACCTTTTAACATTTTACATAAAAAACACAATTTTTTACCCTTCCTTGTTTCAGCAAACCTACTCGTTAAACTAATTCTTTTTAAATAGGGAATAAATGTGATATTGTTAAGGAGACATTTTAGTGTAAGTTCAATCGGGCAAATGGAAATTCGCTAAGTCTGCAGGCTTGCCGCGGCGGGGGTATTTTATTGTTAGTTCTGTACGTCCAACTGTAGAGGTTATGTTTTGTTTCTTGTTATTTCAGTAATTTAAAACCTCATTTAACCAAATAAAACGATTTAATCATAAACAATAACTGGTCTTCTAGTTATATTATCATATAGTAAAGCACAAATCATGAAAATAACCCTAAAATAATAGAAACAAAATGTTGTCTACCCCAGTGATCAGTGTGGACGTACATGAACTAGACACGAAAACAAAGCTACAATATTTACAATGGGATGAGGAGTCTACTTGTTTTCGTTAGTCTATGTTGCAACTCAGTGGCAGTTCCGTGCTTTTATTTATTAATTCTGCATGGAGAGGTTCCGCTGTATGGATAAACACCATTAAACAGATAATTATTCTAACTAATCTGTAGGGATGAAAATTAACCTCAAAATTCGTGTAACTGAGCAGTCAGACATGTTCGGGTGGGCCTGCGAGGACTGTTTTCCACAGCAGTATGAACTCTGTCGAATGTTCGTTGTCTGGCATCCGATCTGACTTTGGTCGGCCTTTCAGCTTCCTTTTCAACGCAGAAGCCGTTGTTCTAAAGTTAGTAACCCACCGCATTATTGTTATACGCAACGGAACATCTCCATGTCGCCTTAATTGAAAGAATGCACGAAACTGCTTATGCTGCTGAGTTGCAATGAATAAATTCAATACTTTTTAAAAACGACTCCATAACAACCGCACGTAGCTCAGGCGACCACTGCTCTATGACTAGAAAAAATTGCATTGTGTAGGCTTTCCAACGAGCATACTCACACCACTTTCAGACAACCTGTCGCTGAACAGTGCTCTGCAGAAAATGGTTCGGTTTTTTGCCGCACCCTGTACTGTATAACACTATGACTATATTCAATATTGAATACAACACTATATTGGATATAAAACGCTTAATAGTGTTGTATATTCAATGCTAACTCGTAATGATTGTCATTCAAAAGTCTTTGGGAAATTGCAAGAAAACATATGATTTAGTGAAATAAAACACGTCCAGCTTGCACGTGACGTCACTATCCACACACCTTGTGAAAAAGGCCATTGGCGGAGAGGGGGAACGTACCCTCCCTCTCCGTTACCTCCCCTACATGCGCTAAAAATTTCGCGCAGGTCGTTTTCTAAACGGCCGACCTATAGCTGCTATTCAATACACCTTCCATCAATCAAACATGAACACACACAAACTATGTACAGTTTGAAAAACAAAATACAACATATGTCCAAAAAAATTCAATTCACAAAAAAAAAATGTTCAGTGAAAAATTTATTTTACATCAATTAATACAAATTCATCTTTGATCAACAGCCTATTTACATAATAAAACAAATGAAATAATTGAAATAGAAAATCGAAAAATATTCAAATATTGATAGCTGAATATCATTGTACTTTAACATTTGAATACAAAAATAAATCTCTGAATATCTAACTACAAGGCTGACCAACATTTTGATGTCAGTTTAGGACATTCCTTGCAAACAGAGGGTAACATTCCAACAGAGTAACCTCAATAATCATTTAACAGATAATCATCACAACAACAGATAAACAATCAACAACAAACACAACTAATGAGTTGAGATGTAGAAGACAGTTGGGCTTCAAATGGAATGGAACCAGCAACAGATTGGTGGTAAATGTTGGTTAACAGCTTAAGCATTAATGTGGTGCTTAATCATTCTACATCTCCAATCAATGACAAAAACAAAACTAAAGATAAAGGCATTCAAATCTTGAAAATCTCAAATAAATTATTTTTGATTACCATGTTGGAATGTCTACCAGTAAAAGGAACTGGAGCCTTAGAGCTTGAATAATACATCTTACTTACTAGGCCTAGTATATTAATACCGATTTTAGTTTTAATTCAAAAGCCTAAAAACAATTTAATAAATGTCCGTATAGTTTAAAGAATATGAATATGAAAACCTAATGGTAATATTAGTTGGACATTTTAGATGTAAGCCAAAGTGACAAAATATATTAATAAGTATTCATTTAATTCAAAATCACAATACCTTTAGGCAGGACCAATATTTATTCAAATACTGCATTATAAAAACTCAAGGCTCCTTATGTCAGTAGAGGGGTGGGAGACAGTTCAAGGAGCAACAGAGGGGTTGTAGTCAAGAGTCCCTCTGCCTCGGGCCCTTCCTCGGCCCCTCCCCCGTCCCCGCCCCCGCCCGCGTCACCTGCGCCCGTCAGGCAGTCCGATGTTGCTTGTGGTCTTCTCCAAGTAGGCCAGCGGGCCCTGCAACAAGCCTCCCTGCGGCCCCACCTGGCCTGGGAATGGGCCTCGCTGCATGAACATAGCTTGTTGAGGCGACATCATTGGATTAGGACCAACCTGTCAACAAGTAAACTATGCAATGGAAACAAGCAGAAAGCAGTAGCTTTACCAAACTTCAAAGTCCAAGGGGAGATATAGGTATGAGGGCAGAATGCTGGGGGATTTAAAAACAAGACACTAACTGCTTCAATGTACTTGGGCAATCTCATGGAAAATGTGTCTGCCTTCTCTCCATGAAGAACCAACACAGAACTAGTTTTCTTTGTTTCTATGTTATAATTTTTTTGAAGAATAGATTTTAGGTATAAGGTGCAATGTCGCAGTGAGATCAAAATGCTTGGTTAAAATAGCCAAATGACCATTGTAAAAATTAGCCACTACAGCCCTACCTAGGACCTATATTATGAACAACTCTTATGTTCACATTGAATACATATTCCTGTTCAGTGATGAGGAACTGGACAATATACTGTCCGCGAGAGTAAAGAAGTCCCCTGAGCTCTGGCCTACTGGTAATTTGAAGGGGTTACGCTTGAACGTTTTGCACGACAATTAGAGCCGTCTTCAATGTGCTCGGCTAGTTGTTAGGCTTAGTTTTTGTATGTAAGAGCTGATTTTTAAAAATCCATGTCATAATATTTTTTGCCTAGTCATACAATCGAAGGAAACCCATTTTCTAGTGTCACTAGAAAATACTGCTTGTGAACAGAACTCCTTCCTCATTTTTGAACCTATTTTGATGATTAAAGAGTAAAAAAAATAGCCCTGATCGGTAGTTTTACAAAGTGGTTTTCATTTTTTTTTTATCTGAATTAGTTTGGGCAGGATCTTCCATCAAAGTTGGGTTTTCTCCCATGAGATTGACATGGGGAAATCTAAATATTTAATTGGAATTTTTGTCTCCACTAATTTAAGAGAAAAGCTGGGCGTAGAAACTTGGTATAGGTGTCCAGAGAAAGGTCTCGGTCTGTATACTGCCCCTGACAGTTATAGAATAAAAGCCAGGTTCACTACAAAAGTATATTCTACTACACCTAACATTCCGAAGAGAGATTATATTTAAAAATGTATGTAATTGATAAGGCTTACACAACTGACATCCGCATGTCATGCGATTCCAGATTTAACAGTAACCCAGCGACCAATTTATGCTAGAGGATTATTCATTTGCACAGAAGTACGGTATGTTTTTCGACGTGACGAAGGAAAAAATAAAACTTACACAGCTTTATGGTGGGCCTCCGTTTGAATTAAGAACGGGCCTTCTCAACAAACAGATGTTTTTCTAAAAAAAAAACATAGATTTATTCTGCATAACACTGATGAAATCGTGGAAGTGTTTACCACAAAAGAACCACCAAAAGATTTTTATAATATTCAAAGGTTCCTCCAAAAGCATTCTTCATATTCCTCCAAAAGAATAGAAACCAGTTAATATAGTAACCATAACTCCTTTGACGTATTGTATAAGAAATATGTTATTCATTGAATGATCAACCATATTTTTTAACCAACCCAATAGACAATATTGTTTTTTACACTTATTTATTACCCATTAAACAATGTTAAATGCTCAATTTTTATTGTCATAACACTCGATCACCCGTCTAATGAAATCCCTCTCTCCACTATGTATAGTAGCACCACGTTTTCTTAAATCCATAGCTACAAGGACCTTCCAAAACAAAACGAATTCACTACGCGAACACACGAGACTGCCCTGAATCAAAGGACGTGACCACATGATGATAATCCACTTACCAAAACAAAGATATGAGTAATTATGTTTACAACAGTTGTTTACACAGACAGACATCGAGGCGAGGCGCCCAGATGCTTAGCGCCTGCAAATAGTGCGCGATACCTTCCAAACATAGCTGCGTATCGCTCTGGCTCAAGGGACTTCTTTACTCTCGCGGACAGTATTAACAGTCCGCGAGAGTAAAGAAGTCCCTTGAGCCAAAGCTATACGCAGCTATGTTTGGAGGTTATCGCGCACTATTTGCAGGCGCTAAGCATCTGAGCGCCTCGCCTCGATGTCTGTCTGTAAACAACTGTTGTAAACATAATTACTCATATCTTTGTTTTGGTAAGTGGATTATCATCATGTGGTCACGTCATTTGATTCAGTGTAGTCTCGTGTGTTCGCGTAGTGAGTTCGTTTTGTTTTGGACGGTCCTTGTAGCTATGGATTTAAGAAAACGTGGTGCTACTATACATAGTGGAGAGAGGGATTTAATTAGACGGGTGATCGAGTGTTGTGACAACGAATGTAAAGACAAAAAGTTATTAGTGCCGATAGAAAAGGCAACGGAACGTGCCGCAAACTATTGTAAAGTGTCAGAAAAAACTATTAAACGAATTAGAAAAGCCCTGTAAACAACTGTTGTAAACATAATTACTCATATCTTTGTTTTGGTAAGTGGATTATCATCATGTGGTCACGTCATTTGATTCAGTGTAGTCTCGTGTGTTCGCGTAGTGAGTTCGTTTTGTTTTGGACGGTCTTTGTAGCTATGGATTTAAGAAAACGTGGTGCTACTATACATAGTGGAGAGAGGGATTTAATTAGACGGGTGATCGAGTGTTGTGACAACGAATGTAAAGACAAAAAGTTATTAGTGCCGATAGAAAAGGCAACGGAACGTGCCGCAAACTATTGTAAAGTGTCAGAAAAACTATTAAACGAATTAGAAAAGCCGGCAAACAAACTCCGGATGAAAAACTCTGTACACCCGGGAAAAAACGCAAGAAGGCTGACCACCATAAAGTACAAATAGATAGCTTTGATAGGCGTGTAATCGTAGATGTAATACACAATTTTTACACGAACCAAAAAATTGTCCCTACATGTAAAAAACTATTACATATTTTGAGAGAAAGAATAAATTTTAAATGGAGCGAATGGGCACTTCGGCCTTTTAAAAGATATGGGGTTCAGGTGGAAGAAATGTGGTTACAAAAGAAAATGTTTGATTGAAAGGCCTGACATTGTTAATTGGAGGTTTAAGTATTTGCGAGAGATAAGAAAGCTAAGGGAACAAAAAAGGAAAATTTTCTATCTGGACAAAACTTGGATAGACAGTAATTTAACGTTCCAGAAATGTTGGCAAAGTGTAGACGTCGATGGTGTGTTACCTGATATGAACACGTCAAACCGCGTGATTGTCGTAGACATTGGGTCAAAAGAAGGGTTTTTGCAGGGGGGTCGGCTTATTTATAAGGCAAACAGTGCCAAAGGAGACTACCATGGCCAAATGAATTTTTCCAACTTTGAAAAATGGATTAGGGAACGTGTATTGCCAAATGTACCACCAAATTCAGTCATAGTCATTGACAACGCTCCGTACCATGGAGAACAGGAAGACAAAGTCCCTAATAAGTCTTCAACAAAGAAAGTAATGGTTGAGTGGTTGTCAAAACACGGCGAAGACTACGAAGAAAAGACAACAAGGAAAGCGGAACTTTTAGAAGCCATTGAAAGACTTAAACCACCACAAAAAGTTTACAAAATTGATAACTTGGTACGACAACAAGGCCACACCATTTTAAGACTTCCGCCTTACATGTGTGACTTAAATGCCATAGAATTTGTCTGGGCAAAAGTTAAACAACATGTTCGATCAAGAAACACAACAGGTACATTTATCTTACTTTAAATATATGTTAACATTTTTTTATTTAACATTAGTTTCAAAAATGTTAGTTCTACTAATTATGCATCTTTAATTAATTACCGGTCCTTATTTTATTCAATATTTTATATTTTGAAAGAACTAACAACGATTAAAACTTAATGTTTTAAATAATGTGTATACAACAATTAAATATACTTCAAAATTCGTGGTAAACTCTTGAAAAAGATCACTGTAAAAATTAAATGGTTTTACATTCAAAATATAACTTTTTAACACAATTTTTGTTCTGGAAAAAAACAAACCCTTATTTTTTGTAATTTGATTTTATTTTTGCACAGTACTATCACTATGACTTAAATCATTATAAACATTTATACAACTATCAATCTTTCATTAGTTTTTTTTAATAGCCACATATTCAGCATGATATAGTTTGAGATGACATATCCAACGGAAGTATTTTTATCAGGTAGCATGTCCCTGGGCGCATTGACTGACATGGCAAACAAGGCGCTTAACTCTGTTACCCCTGCGTTGTGGAAAAAATATTCCGAACATGTAGAACATACAAAAAATGAGTACTGGACGACGGATGGCATAGTGGAAAACACGGTCGATGAACTTGTCATCAATTTGGGAGGCGGAGATGATTCATCGACTGAGGATTCCGACTCTGAACCCCATGATACAGACGAAGAAGATTTGGAGTTAGCCCAACCTTTGCCAATGAACATCGATTAGACTCTTACAATATGAGCATTTGTAAGTAAAATACTATATTGACAATTGTTTTCTTGATTTTTTGCTTAGGTTTATGGTAATAGGATTAAGAACTTTAATAGTAAGTTGTTTATTGATGAATGCTATTGAAACTGCTGTACTCGTGTACTTATATTATATACCGGTAATATGCATTCATCGTAAGTATATTCATGGATCAACTAATTATTTGGGATTAATGCTTTCAAACTCGGATTTAAAAAGGATTTTATTGTATTGTATTTTATTGGTATTGTTACATTTAACTAAACAAAAATCATAAAGAAGAAAGGTTATTAATCAGCCTTAGTAACACTGGAAAATGGGTTTCCTTCGATTGTATGACTATGCCAAAAAATATTATGACATAGATTTATAAAAATCATACAGTTATTACATACAAAAATTAAGCCTAACAACTAGCAGAGCAGAGTGAAGACGGCTCTAATCGTCGCGCGAAACGTTCAAGCGTAACGCCTTCAAACTACGAATAGGCCGGAGCTCAGGGGACTTCTTTACTCTCGCGGACAGTAATTAAAATTAAACATATACTAGCCTAGATTCTTTTATTACAAATTTGATAGGCCTAACTTATTTTCAATGTTTATCTATGATAATGAAAAATTATAACAGAAATTGAGATTAAGATGAAGTTCCTTAAAATTCCTTTTATATTTTGGGGAATTTTAAAAGTGAGCTTCTCTCAAGCATAAATGACAAGCTCACACTGTACAGGCAATTGAATAAATCAAAACTACAAAATTGCCAGAATTGCGAGAGACTATAATGCTACTTCTTTGGTTGTGTATGTTTTACAACAGTTTTGATTATGATAAGTAAAAAACGTCAAACTTCAAGTCAGCCCAACATCAAAACTTGTTCTAGGTAACAAAAACCTTGTTATTGTTAATTTATATCTTGCATTTGAAATGCCTTTAAACCGGTTGGACAATTTATAATACAAGTGTAGCCTACATATCTGATTTGTTCACCTGTTGTTGCATTTGTTGCTGCATCTGTTGATGCATCTGTTGTTGATGTTGGATCTGCTGAGCCTGCTGCATCTGCTGCTGCATCTGTAGTGTTGACATGGCCCCAGGACCTGGTGTTGGCTGGGATTGAGGAGGTGGAGGTTGACCGTTGCTCATCCCTGTAGGTCCTTGAGCTGGACTCTTGGCCCAGCCTTGAGACTGCAGATCAGCAAGCAGATTCTGCCACATGGTGATTTTCTCATAGTGTCGCTTTATCAGATCATCCTTCCTCATGAGTTCCAATCTCAGATCATTTATATCCTGAAATTGAAATAAAATTTTCATACAACAGGTAAATTAGAAGTTCAAAACAAGAAGCCTTCATAACATAGATAGCCATGATACCTTGTAGGGACTGAGGGATTAAATTCTGTATTTGTCGTCAGGTCTAGTAAGCAAATCCATCTCATTAAGGAACTTTTTCCAACTTGTGCCTAAAAAACATAAGGAATTGGACTTTTTCGTAAAAGTTACAACTTTGCCCCAGCCCCCAAAACAACCATTTTGGGGGCAGCCCCAAATTTTCAAATGTAAACCCCTAGCATGTGACCCCTGGTTTTAAAGGGTTTATCAAGGGAAATTCAATGGCGCAAACCAGAGGTCAATATCGCACCCTTAATTAAAAAGGCAGCCATTTTAATTTAAGATGAGCAAGCAAGATAAAGTCTGGACACTCCCAGTTAACTTTATAACGTGTGGCAGTGGGAAAACCAAACTCGGCACATGTTTACAATATAAAAAAATTCACTTTTTCATTAAAGTTAGAACTTGTACCCGGCCCCCAAAATGGGGTATTTTGGGGGCAGCCCTAAATTTTCAAATGTAAACACCTATCATGTGACCCCTCATTTTAAAGGGTTTCTCAAGAAAAATTAAATGGCGCAAACTAGAGGTCTACATTGCACCCCTAACAAAATGGCAGTCATTTTGAAATATCCCCAGTTAACTTTTTAACAGGTTATAGCAGGAAAACTAAACTCAGCATACCATTATGAAAAAAAGAGAATTCCCCTTTTAGTCAGTATCAAAGTATTATCAAAGTTGTAACTTTGATGAAAAGTACAATTGCTTATGTTGTAAATATATGCCGAGTTTGTTTTCCCACTGTGACGCGTTAAAAAGTTACTGGGGGGTTCCAGACTTTTGCCTAACCCTGTATACCAAGTCAACAGATTGTAAACATCATCTTAATCTTAGAGGTAAAATTATATTCAGATTAGAGGGTAAAAAATGTGTTTGTTTTTATGTGTTTGTTAACTTTTTTATGTTTAAGTAGGCTATAGAATGTCAACAATACATAGGGTAGGCCTACTGGAATTTAAATAGCATAAAATTGGTAATTTAGGTTGCAAGTATTTGATCATTTACTTACCTCTCTCACTACTAATTCTGGTTTAAGAGCTGATAGCAGAAAACGTTTTTGAAGAAAAAATGCTTCCATTTGTCTTGCTAAATCAAGAAATCTCATTACTGAATGATCCATTTCAACCCTAATTTCATCTTTTTCCATGGAAGGTAAAGCATCCTCCTTTGTAAGAACATTGAGGCATGACTGAAAATATTCATACAATGTTAGTGAAAATGTTATGAATGGTTGTCATCAAAGCATTAATAACCCTCCTGTAGGATAAGCCATAACACTATTTACGATTAGCAAAGAATCTTAACAAAAATAATTGTGGTTTATTTAAAATGGTAAAATTGACTTTGTAAATACACCCTTAGGCTATTTATTGTATCAGATAATCTATTAGAAGTTTTATGAGCAAAAAAAGAGCCTAAAAAGAAATAATTTTTAGTACAGTAGGCCTATTTATATTGAAGGGTTTTTATGTGCTTAACTTAATGGTTAACGAGCAAATAAAAAAAATTTAAATTTTGGTAATTACAGTAGAGTCCCGCAAACTCGGCGTAATGTGGACTGGAAGGGTGCCGAGTTTGTGAAATGCCGGGTTATCGGGAACTAGGGTTAAAAACAAGAACAATACCATTTTTAAGCTTATTAACTACCTCTTTTATTTATATTTTTATTGCAAGTTAGTATCAAGTCATCAGATATAGTACAAAAAACCATTTGTACGAGCTGAGAATGATTTGACTTGAGCTGGCTTGAGTCCATGTTTAACTCAGACTCAAAAAATCACTAATTTTCTGAGCCAGGTGATGGCCGAGTTATCCAGACTGCCGGGTTATCGAGTGCCGAGTTTGCGGGACTCTACTGTATTTGATATATCTACAACGCGATATCGTGTAATTTTTACATGTCTACTTACAGTATTTTTCACGCTGAATCCAAAAATGCAATCAGGTTTTGTCGAAGAGATTCATAAATGGCCTTACAGTTAAATCTTTAATATTAAGCTTCAATTTTATTAAGTAAGTTATTTAGGTAAGTTGTAGTGGTGACTAACACTTTAAAGGGGAGGAAGGTGTGTGGAGTGGAAACAGCTGTCAGTTGTTTACATTTGATACTAAACAGACAAAACCACAGACGACATGAGAGCAAAATCAGAATTTCAATATGCAATAATTCGATTTTTAAAAGCAAATGGACTTTGGTGCCGTTTAGAAAATACAATAAATCAACTACGATATATAAACTATTAATCACATCAACAAAAATTATAAAAATAGAATTTATTCTCATAAAATACCAGTAATAGAACGTTTATATTACCAGTGATAGAAGCTAGGCCACTACCGACAACCCAGTAATTGGCACTATTACAATATAATGGGTATAATAAGGTTTGTATTTGCATTTATACTCTGTGGCCTTTGTAAGTGTTTTTTGGGGACACTTTTTTCAACTGCAGCATCCGTCAGCCATTTTACAGTTCTCAGTTTGGATGCAAAAAATTCTACCAAGTTATTCTACACAATTTTCGTCAAAAACTATAGTTCGCCCGTTAAGGTAAGCATAACTTTGTTCTTCCGTGGTTTACTTATTTATTTCACTATCATTTTCTTATTAATATCACTGGGTTCTACATTAAATTCTTGATACTAACAATATGTCTTTATAACTTAACCTCTAAATTTTAGGAGGGAAAAGCTTTGTGCCAATTACTAGAAAGCAGAATGTGCTTTTCCCCAGTAATTGGCAGTTTGTGCCATTTACTAGAAACCACCCAGAATAGTAATTGGCAGCATGAATTTGTTACCTTAAAAGTGCCAACTTGTCTAGGCTAGGTGAGGTTAGGGAGGTAGGTAGGTTAACTTTAAAACCTTAGGCCTAGTAAATAGCTTATTAATATTTATTTTAATACATGTTTTTTTGTTTTCTTTCTAGGAGCCAAAATGAGTCCGCCGCCGAAGAAAAGGCCGAAATTCCTTTATAGTGAAACTAATATGATGCTGGTTGTAGAGGCAGTGAAGAAAGGGGAGTCTGGATTTTCAGCCAGCAAAAGATATCAAGTACCGTACCAAGATCAACATTAATGAACAAAGTAGAAGGCAAGAGTCCACTTGGAAGGAAGATGGGTCCGGCACCAATTTTTGGGGAGGATTTCCAGTATGGAAAGAGGATATTATAAGGTCAGTCCAGCAAATCATAAAAGAAATGAATTTGCCTAACAACTTTAAAGATGGCAAGCCAGGAAAAAAATGGCTTAGCCTCTTTCTTAAACACCATCCGGACATTGGGTCAGTTGAAAAATTGAGCCAGGTCAGGGCTAATGTGACAGAAGCCGGAATAAAAAACTGGTTCCAAGAAGTTGACAAATACCTGGAAAGTGAAGGTTTCCTCCATTACCACATATTCTCCTAGTTTCATATTATATAAGCCATCATTTTATTCTAGTCCAATCATTGTCAAACGATCACCTTTTTTGCTTTCTTGTTATTGTTACCGTAAGTTTTCTTTCATAATTTATATTTGTACTGTTAAATTTTCAATTCATATTTGATAACTTTCATCTCGGTTCATGTTCCTCAAAATGTTGTTACATTCACCATTATAGCACTTTAGTCACAATCAATTATTGTCACACTCTCATTGTTCATAGGCTACTTGTTATTGTTAAGTTTTTATATTTTATTGCACTGTCAAATATTCAAATTTTTTATGTTTTCCTTTTCGATCCTGTATTTAGCGAAGCAGGCTGTTAATGTTAGTTGAATTTCAAGACCATTGCATGTTTTTTTTTTCTTGTTGGCCGATGTTGTATGTTCATAGTATATATATTTGTTTTTCATTTTTCATTACTCAGTTGCGAATCATTAGTGTTAGCATGTATTCATAAAGCATGACCAAATAGCAAGATGTAAAATTTACAGCATGTAATAGTATTTATTGATCCACAAATTGTAATGCATGTAATTGATTGTACAAATGGTGATTTTGGCGTAAATAAATAAATAAAAGACCAATAAGCTAAAACATTTAAATGTATTATTGTTACCAGTATTTTATTCTCATTAATGATTTATTGATTTATATTTTGCCGTTAAAAAATTACATCAATCAATTATCAATTATTTAAGATGGGGACGCCACTATGTGCGTATTTTAACCCAGATATGAGTGAAGGATGAGTGGCGCGATCTTGTAGTCTTGTTTGTTTATTTATTTATTTATTCCAACGGTTTCTCCATTAATACAATTTTGTCTAAAAAAACTAGATTCACAAGATGGCAGTTCTAAAGATGAAAGTTCTAAAATCTACTTGTTAGTGACTAAGGCCGACATGTTCCTTAGACACAGCTGTTAATTAATAGCCCATACATAATAAAATGATGCTATTCTAACATAACCTAACCTAACCAAACCTCTAGAATGTACATAAGCAAACTCCTTTTGATGTCAGAAAAGGCATGTCAGGGTGGTAGGTCATGATTTATACGAATTGGTGACTGCATTAAGTGTTTTGAAGTTAGGTTAACTTAGATTAGGAAGGTAAAGTTTAGGTTATAATGTCGAGTTGTTAGTTTATGTCGCCTGCAGACTGTTTTTGTAAAATTAAAATCCTAAGAAAAATTTGGGAAAAAATCTGGATTTTAATTTTACAAAAACAGTCTGCAGGCGACATAACTAACAACTAGATACATTATAACCTAAACTTTAACTTACCTAATCTAACCTAACTTCAAAGGACTTAATGCAGTCACCAATTCACATAAAGCATGACCTACCACCCTGACATGCCAAAATAAGAACTACATGTAATTAGTTCACCAGTACATGTATTTATTTATTCATTCATTTATTCATATCAACGGATACACCATTTACAAAATATGTGTTTTAAGCACATGAGCAGAATGAAAAGATAAAAAAAAATACAAGATAAGTAACATAATGACCATGAAACAAAGCAGCATTGCAACAAAAATAATAACAAAAAACAACAACGTGGCAAAAATTACAGATAATAACATTAACAAAGTATTGTACAAATAACAAAACAAAATTTAATATTAATTTGGACTTCAGAAAAAGCATATAGATTTTGAAAGTAACAACGACAAATATCTCCTCAAGATTTAACAAAATATAAACTATGATGACATTAAGTTCAACGTGAAAAAATAACAACAAACAACAATAAATCTATGAATGAATAACAAGAATGAAAGAGATTTAGGAAAAACAAACAAACATCAGCTACAAAACAGGCATAACAAAGATAATGTTGGAGCATTTTCTTCTGAAGGAAGACAACTGTTCATTGAAGAAGTCAACTTGTGATCCGACTTCGTTTCCAAGACGCTGCAATCTGGCCAATCCACAATTGAGAGAGTAGTTGGTAAGTACAAGTGAGCAAATGTATCCGAAGATCGTGTTCCTCGGTACAAGGAAATTAATTCCCTCCAGTAGATCGGTAGAATCGATCTCACTACGGACCAGTTTAAACAAAAAAAGGATGTCGTGCAGCTTTCTTCTGAGATGGAGAGGTTGGACGTTGAAGCGCATCTGAAGCTCCAAGATTGGTGGGGCACGATACTCATAGCCCAGTCGGACACCTAGGACTCGGAGGAAGCGTAACTGTACTTTATTTATCATTTCAATATGGCCAAGCTGATATGGTGACCAGATAATAGAGCCATACTCCAAAACTGGTCGCACTAGGGTCTTATATAACACTAGAAGGGACTGTGGGGACTTGAAGTCTCTTGATGATCTAAGGATGAATCCTAAGATGGAATTAGCTCTTGCGATAATATGAATGATGTGCTCAGCAGGACTCAAGGTAGAAGTAAGTATGACACCAAGACACATCTATATCTCCATAATGTGACAAAATTCCTATTATAGAAATATTGACTACAGAATCACTTGAAATGTTTAATCAACGATGTTATTCTTCTCATCAACCATGTTACTCTCTTCACTTAACCTGAACTTGTAACGGCGTAGCAGACTAGCACTACGCAGCACGTATGAGTATTTTTGTTTTGAGTTCTAGGCCTAGTTGTATAGAAGTAAAATGACGTCACTAGGCATAATGCCGATGACAGAATCAGAGTGAGTTAATAAAGTTCAAAAGTTGTCACTTCCAGTTGCTTGTCGTGTGGTTGAAAACAGCCAACTGCTGTAGGCTTAGTTAACCC